GGTCCGTAACATATATAGGAAGCATCCCTCTCTACAATGCGCGCTATATACCAAGCAGTGATGATCCCATAGATGCTATTTGGAGCAGCGGCTTGGCACTCACCACTAACTATCACATTGAGAGAGAGAAGCTATATTAAACAGTTTGTTAGTATATAGTCGTCTATCCCTTATCATAAGGATACGGATACTAAGAAGATAGCCCAACTTTTTATCAATGTTATTCGAGTAATAGGGATACCAGAAACGATTATATCGGACAGAGGAGGTCAATTAATTTCAGAATTCTAGACCGAGTTTTATCGTTGAAACCATTGATCTCTGTGCGGCTTCGGGCCAGGCCCCGGGACCTCGCTTAGTCAGCAACCGGCCCGGGGCGATATTTCCAAGGTTCCCGATCATGATGGATCCAACTCTTGATACTTGCCATTCTCTAAACTCGAAAATTGGAGCATGTTTTCTCTTCGGACAGTTGCACGTGGTGCCCAAAGTCTCCGGGCTTTCTCCACAGCTCGTATGCTGCAGTCCGAGCTGGCGTACCAAGTCTTTGGCCCGGAAAACGGCCAAGCTGTCCGAGACCCTATCCTGATTCTACATGGACTCTTTGGATCAAAGCAGAACAACAGGAGTATCGGCAAGTAGGTTTTATCAATAGAACTGTTATAGATAGAATCCCCTGTTCTTACACAGCTCTCAGGACTTTGGCACGGGATCTGAAATGCCAGATCTTTGCACTGGTAAGTTTCCGCTTGGCCCCGGAAAGACATGAAAAAAGTCTTCCAAAAGTCCTAAACAAATCTAAACAGGATCTGCGTAATCATGGCCACTCTTTCCATGCCTCCGAGCACAATTATGGTGCCATGGCGGAGGACGTACAGGAGTTCATCAAGCAGCAGAAACTCGACAAATGTGTTTTGATCGGGCATTCCATGTACGTGATAATATTCCCGATGCCAAACGCAGCTTAGGCATACGAATCATCCGTATTATCTGCTCGTCCCATACTAAAAATTGGTAAAGGGGTGCCAAAGCTGCAATGGCGGTAGCCCTAAGCGCCCCCGAACGCGTGTCAGCTTTGATCCCCGTTGACAACGCACCAGTGAATGCAGAACTGAAGAGCGATTTCCCCAAATACATTCGCGGCATGCAGAAAATCGAAGCTGCGAAAGTGTCAAAGCAATCCGATGCTAATAAAATTCTCGAGGATTATGAAGAGGTGAGGGATGTTGATCTTTCTGCAGACTAGCGCAGAAAGAAGGGCGATGAACCAAGCACCCTCTGGTCCCATTTAGCATGCTAACGCTCCTCAGTCTCTTCCCATCCGCCAATTTCTTCTCACCAACTTGATACGCTCCGAGGAAGACAACACGCTCAAGTTCCGAGTGCCGCTATCCGTCATCGGCGGTTCGTTGGATCATATGGCCGATTTCCCTTTCAAGGAATCCGATAGCCTCCACTACGACGGCCCGACGCTCTTTGTTCGTGGCACTAAGTCTAAGTATGTTTCGGACGACACCGTGCCGGCTATCAAGAAGTTCTTCCCCAACGCACAGATTGTGGACGTCGAAGCCGGTCACTGGCTCATTTCTGAGAACCCCGAAGCATTCCGTCAAGGTGATTCCCTCTTCCCTACAATAATTGAAATTGATTTGTTTATGCTTACCTGATGATGATAGCTGTGGTGAAGTTTTTGGAATCGGCATAGATGTAAAATATAGGGCACGTGATTTAGAATTTAGACGTATGTAGAAGGGATTTCGTGTTCAGGAGGAATATTTCACCCAGTGGTTTGCTGAATAGTATCGATTGGAAACGCCAATCGCAGGCTAGGCTTTCAGTCGATCCCCTGAGTGGCGTAATCAACTCATGATGATTTTCACGAAGCTGACTCATGTAGAGACCAACAGTTCCCATGGCGAGTCGTAATTCGAGGTTAACAGAGGGGGAACAAGACGCCCACAACGAAAGTAGTGGACAGCATGAGATCTTTGAAATCAGGTTTGGACCGGCTCACTCATCCTGCTTGTTCCGCTTCCGCTTCTTCCCTGGTCTGCTTGAGGTCTTGGAATTCTCTTCTGCCTGCTCTGCCCTCTTCTTTGCCTTCTTCTTCTCCGTTTTGCTAGAGCCTGGGGTAAAGGGTGCCGAGGCAGAAGAGCTAGGAGCAGGAGAAGGATCAATAAGCGAAGAGGATTTAGTTGTACTTCTTTCGTCATCAGAGTCTATTCCAGAGGATGCCCGTCGCTTTCCTTTCAAATATTGAAACTGGCGGGGTTCAGCGGAATTTCCAGAATACGGCGATGGATGACTGATGCTGGGTCCTCTGGGTGTTTGTGAAGGCTGTCGAGCTTGCATTGCAGAGTGAGTCGATTTCAAAACGCTTGGTGTCGAAGTGTCGGCCTGGCCCTTCACGCTGAACTCAACCGGCTGGTATCCACCTAGAGTAGGGCCCGTGGGAACTGTCCTCGGTGTTGCGCTAGGCGTCGGTGTAAAAGAACGACTATTTGCTAAGGATTGAAGGCTTTCCTGCCCATTGATGCTCTCCTCCAGTTTATCGAGAACATCAGAAATCTTCTCTCCTCCTGCAAGCGCCTTGAAGATGTCTTCAGCGTTCCTCAGGCGCTTAATGTACATCTTGACCTCATTCCCCTGCTCAGTGAATTTCTCCAGTGATACTGTTGGTTTCTGGCCTTCAAGGGCTTTCACCTGTTCTCGGAGTCTGATAAGATCGTTATCTTCGGTTGCATATCGATCTTTGAGGTCTTTCAGCTGTGTCCTGAGTCCGTCAAGACCTGCATCCTCCGCGTTGTTTCTGTCCGCTAAGGCTTTCAGCTTTTTCCGGACTTCGTCGAGATATGGATCTTCCGTCGTAAGCTGATCTTTCAGATCTTTTAGCTCTGTCCGAAGTTTATCGAGATTTTCATATTCGGTTTCGTTCCGACCTTCGAGTACTTCCAGCCGTGTGCAGATCGTGCCAAGGTTCTCGCGCGTGGTAGTGTTTCTCTCCGCCGCGGCTGTAGTTAACTCGTCGATGGTTCGTCGAACCTCTTGGAGTTGTGAGATGTGATCATCGACCTTAATGATCAATGGATCGATCCGTTTCGCAAACTCAGCGATTGTTCCAAATTCTTCACCCTGCTCATCGGCCTTTTGAGCGATGCCTTCGATAGTGTCGTCTTGAGCTGTGATCCTGTTTTGCAATTCGTTCCGCAGTTCAAGATTTTTCTGCAACTCATCACCATGCTCGTGGATGAGTGTTTGAATCGGTGCAAGCTTGTCTGAAATGTCCTTGACATGTTGGAGCAAAATGGGCAGCTCGGTCAAATCCCGGAGCTGCTCCGGTGATATCTGAGCTGCCAGAGAAGTTTCCGCGCTAGCCTGAGCCTTTTGTGCATCTGCTTTAAACCGGTTCATATCTGCCTTGAACAACTCTGAGTCTACCTTGATCGCATCAGCATCTGTCTTGAGCGCAAAAATCCGGGCTTCAATTTCAGTCCGGTAGGCCGTCAATTGTTGACTCAGTTGATCAACAGAGGGGTACATTTGCTGCATGGCATGTGCCATGGAATTGACCAAGTCGCCTGTGGTAATATTTGTATATCGTGTTTCTAGTGAGCGAATGGCCCTGTTGAGAGATTCAATTTTACTCTCGAACTTTGTTACAGCCTGAGCAAGGCCGGAGACCGGAGCAAGGCGGGTTTTGAATCCATCTAATCCACTTTGAAGGTGGGTTCGGAGCCGCTCGAAGCTCCCTGGCAACGACCCCCTAAGTTGGTTAAGGTCCGTGCCAAGTGTCGTCTGATATTTGGTTGTTGCCTCAAATTTCGTGGTCAGGTCCTTCACCATTTTCAAAGTGTCATCCTGTTTGATTCCGAGTAAAGTTTGGCTCGACTCTTGGTTCTTGCGGAAGGTGTTCAACTCGGCCACACGAATGACATCTACGTCATGATGGAGGTTCTTGACATTGTTTAGGAGGTCTGCTTGGGTCTGCAGTCTCTTTTCTAGAGACGTCACTCTTGTAAGCACCCCGCTGTGGGGAGTTGGAGTTGTTTCTGATGAGACCCGGCCACCGTTATCAAGGTTTTGTTGTTGGGTTCTGAGTGAGGCTAGGAGATCTTCTTGGGCGGTAATTTGCTCCGTGGTTTGCCTCCTTTGGGCTGCCAAGTCAGTTTCAACTTGTGAAATTTGAGTTGACGCGCTATTGTTGAGATCATGTCGCGTAGCACTAAGGGACCTGATGTCACTTTCAATGGAAGAAAGCTTGCCCTTAAGCTGTCCATTCGTAGTTCTCATTTTGCCACCAAGATCCAAAATTTTGGTCTCTAGCTGCTGGTTGGAAACTTTCAGTTCTTCCTCAACTGTGTCGACCATCTTCTTCATGATAGTAATCTTTTCATCAAGAGTCTTATCGGCAGCTTTCAATTCAGCATCAATGCTTGCAATTTTGTTCGTGAATTGGCTCTTCCATTTGGATTGAAGAGCAACTGAATTCGCAATCTTATTCATGTATCCCAGCGCTTCCGCCAATCCATTCGGGTTCTCGAGGGCATGCTGCACTTTGTCCAGCTTTGCTTTGAGTTCAGCGATAGTTTTATCCCGGGCTTGCATGTCCGCTTGGACTCGTCCGATTTCGACATCCCCTGTCATTAGGTTATCCCTGCTGATGGTTGGGGCAGGGCCTTGCCCCGTTGCCTTGATTGTGGATTCCAAGTTTCCGACTCTCTCGGGTATTTTTTCGAGCAGGAGATTAGACTCCAAGTGCAACATTGTCGAATTAAAATTATCCTCTGCCTGATTGCAAAGTGATCGATGCTGGGTGATCGATTTGACATGGTTGACCAATTCATCTTTGGCCGCGTCAAGCTGTTGCTGGAAGAGAGCGACGACACTCGGAAATTGTTGAGATTGTTTTGCCCTCTGGAGGTTTTTGGTGATAGAAATTATTTCCTTTTGGAGTCTCTCTTTCTCTTCCTCGCACTTGCTAACTTTGATCATTGAGTTGACCAGATTTGAGATGAAAAAAGCGCCTTGGTGATTGGGTACACTTCGGCTTTCTGTGGACGTAGGTCCAGAGCCATTGTTAGGAATTGAGAGTGGAGGCACTTGGGGGAGCAATTTTGCAGGAACTTTCTGGATGAAGGCGGGATTTACGGGGAGGTTTAGGTGTGCATGTTGGGCATTTGATGATTGAGGATCATCTGATTGCCTTACAGTACCGGCAAGCCGAGGATCTGACGCCTTGGTCGTGATGGTTTGGGGTGGCATAGACGGGAATAGGCCCGAAAGTCGCTGCTTCGGGAGATTGATATTGGGAGAGTCAACATCCATTCTGCTGGCCATGTTCCCTCCAATGGATGTATTGCAAACAACTCATCGTATTTGCAAGAGAACCGTAGTGTCGTTTTTCGGGGGTAGACTCGTAAGATATAGTCTGCACTGAGGTCCCAGAATGGGACACTTTGTCACGCGTTAACCACGTGAAAACGTGCAGGTGAGGTAAAGTGCTTGTAGGTGTAGTAGGGTTTGATGAAAACGCCTAGTTGATTCCCCCTAAGGTAATGAAGGGAGCCAGGCACATCAGATGGAAGACGCGAAGGGCACCAAAAATGCGAAATTGGTTCAAGTGTTGCAACTGTGGCAAGTGGGAATGAAATAAATCGTGTCTTTCAGGTTATATTCTGCCGGGCGGTAACGATGCACTTCGATCTGCGACCTGCCTGGCTCTCATTCTTCTTTTGCTTCTCTAGATCTCTGGCGCATTTTACCATCATACTCTTCCAGTTTAGGAAATATTTCCTGCCGGAAATTTTCAAATATGGCTGTAGTAAGTTACAATTCTTCTACAATCTTTCCACAGTTACTGATACTAAAACAGCCAATTTCGACTGTCGCAGAGAGCAAGGAGCTCCGGGGACTAAACCTCATCGCCGCCCATTCGCATATCAGAGGCCTCGGCGTTGATGCAGATACGCTTCAACCTCGTACATCGTCTCAAGGCCTTGTGGGCCAGGAAAAGGCCCGGAAGGCCGCTGCAGTGATTTTGCAGATGGTGAGGGAGGGTAAGATTGCCGGTCGTGCCGTTTTGATTGCAGGACCTCCTAGCACTGGAAAGACAGCAATCGCAATGGGCATGGCACAATCTCTCGGACCAGACGTACCTTTCACCATGCTTGCTGCTTCTGAAATTTTCTCAATGGAGATGTCGAAGACAGAAGCCCTAACTCAGGCATTCCGGAAGTCCATCGGTGTGCGCATTAAGGAAGAGAGCGAAATCATTGAGGGTGAAGTGGTGGAAATTCAAATCGACCGGAGTGTCACTGGCGTGAGTGGATTCTCTATGCAGAACGAATGAATAGCATTGGATACTGACTACGTGCAGGGCAACAAACAAGGAAAGCTCACGATCAAGACTACGGACATGGAAACGATTTACGACATGGGAACCAAGATGATTGATTCTATGACCAAGGAACGAGTTATGGCAGGAGATGTGATCTCGATCGACAAGTCCTCGGGCAAGATCACCAAACTCGGCCGGTCATACGCACGCTCTCGAGACTACGACGCCATGGGTGCCGATACCAAATTTGTACAATGCCCCGAAGGCGAGCTTCAGGTTCGCAAGGAGATTGTCCACACTGTCAGCCTTCACGAAATCGACGTCATTAACTCACGTTCACAAGGCTTCCTAGCCCTTTTCTCCGGCGATACGGGCGAGATTCGGAGTGAAGTTCGGGACCAGATCAATACCAAGGTGGCAGAATGGAAAGAGGAGGGCAAGGCAGAGATTATCCCAGGTGTCCTGTTCATTGATGAGGTTCATATGCTCGATATTGAATGTTACTCATACATCAACCGTGCCCTTGAGGCTGAGTTGGCCCCTATCGTCATCATGGCTAGCAATCGCGGCCAGTCACGCATCCGCGGAACCACCTACACATCTCCTCACGGCCTACCCCTTGATTTCCTTGATCGAGTTGTTATCGTCAGCACACAGATGTACTCTGGTGACGAGATCCGTCAAATCATCGCTATCCGAGCGCAGGAAGAAGAAATCGATCTTTCGCCCGATGCTCTCGCCCTTCTCACCAAGATTGGTCAGGAGTCAAACTTACGCTATGCCAGCAACCTGATTACCACTTCGCACCTGCTGAGTCAAAAACGGAAAGCAAAGGAGGTTAGTGTCGATGACGTCCAGCGCAGCTTCCGACTGTTCTACGACCCTGCTCGGAGTGTCAAGTTTGTCAATCAATATGAACAGCGCTTCATTGGTGACCAAGGTGCTGTTAGCTTTACTACTGCTACCAATGGCGACGCCATGGAGCTTTCTTGATCAGGATACATGTTTAAGCACAGGGCTATTCGGTGGGCAGTTAAGCGGGTCGAAAGAACTACACTGGATCTTGTTTTTTTTTTGTTGTCGCATCAAACGATGTATGATAGGACTGGCGCTTGTTGAGCTGATTTGGCCTTTAAGATTCAATTGCAGTCCTCTGTCATAGGGGATCTGATATTAATATTTCATTCATCAACGGTGTTTTGTGTAGCCAAAGCGACTATCGTAGTTGATGTGAGGAGGGGGGGGGGCATTATGTTACAAGAAATTGACAGTGCCGCTCCACGGCCTTGAATCTCCTACTCGACGAAACTCAACACCTTCGCCAAAGTAGCCTGCATTCTTCCATGAGTCCATCATCGCGCTATCATATGGCCCGTGAGCATTACCTCCATCTCGGGCATCAGACCACCGATATTCCCACATGGCCGGATCTTCCTCAGTCACACCCTTTGCAGGAGGGTCAATCCAGTCATCGCCCGTGTCGTTGCGGTACTGCCGTGTGAGAATTTCGCGCTCTGTGTCGTAGATATCGACTTGACCGCGGCCCATCAGGATATCGGCGGCGCCAGTAATGGAATCAATTGCCTTCTTCCGGGCCACCTCGTTGGGGTCATCAAATGTCATCTCGATATCATCCACGGCGTTCTTCTTTTTCTTCTTGTTTTGCCACTTGGGCTTTCGGCGTAGGCCTTTGCCTAGTCTAGCTAGTGCTTCGAGTATTGTTTCGCCGCGTTCGAGGTGGGTGATGATCGTCTTCAGAACATCAGCTGTCAAAATGCTGTCATCCTTTCGGTCCTTCTCTTTACGCTCTGCGTCGCGTTGCTCAGCAGCCTCTTTGGCTCTCTTGATATCCTTCTTGGAAACACCCTCCAACCAAGAGTCGTAGGCCGCGTCGGGGTCTATTGCTTTGCGAACATAGTTGCCCTGGTCATCAAATCTACCCTCCTCTTGTTCAGTTCGCATGTTGAAGGCATCTAGGAGAGGTGCGTGCTTTTTTTTTCCACCGGCGCCAAGTTCTTCGTCCACCAGTTCGTCGACTCGTGCGCGTTCCTCTTCCCCAACTTCACTACCACTTCCATCTTCTTCCTCATAAATTTCGGCTGCACCCTTGCTTAGATCAACATGAAGCACTCCTCCGCCTTTTGAAGAAGCGACTTGGCCCTCGATCTCATCGTCTCGAAGGAAGCGAACGGACTTTTTACTTTTGTTTATAGTCTCGTCGCCATCGACTTCTTCTTCACCGAAGTCTTCTTGTAGTTCGGCAAACATATCGTCATCTTCGGCATCTTCCTTGGCTTGTTTGCGCTTGGATTTCTCTTCTGTGCGCGCAGAAAACCCCTCGTTTTCGCTGTCCGAATCGTAGCCCTCGAGATTTACCGCCTTGCGTCTCACTCTCTGACCACGTCTGCCAATCTCATCGGCGTCCAGTACTGCGTCTTCTTCGAGCGCATCAGCTGCAAGCGCTGAGGGGTTGCGAAGGTCGAAGCGGGGCTTCTTGTGCTCAGAGGAATCTTCCCCGTCGTCATTGTGGTTGATACCAGCCAAATCTTCGCCTGCGCGCTTAGGTCGTGGCAATGAGCTCGACATGGCGCTTTGATTGGGGAGTCTGATTGAAACTAGAGGAGAAATGTGATGTTACACAAAATTGAAGGGTAAATCAACTCGGATAGAGCTGATTTCCTTGTCCGGGGTCGGAGCGGAAAATCATGGCGGAGCGAGCTGCGTCACTGACGACAATCCAGAGAGCGGCATGATGTACCTCAATAAATCCGGTCCCGTCGCCACCTTTCTCTTTACCCATCTTTATTTGTTCAAATTCATAGAAATTTGATATGGTGAGTCCACTTGAACTCTCCATCCCTCTCTCAACTTTCACCTTCGGAACTAACAGCTTTAGTACCGACCTGGTTACTGGTCGGGCGACCCTATGGATGGAGTCCTAGGTGCCGGCATGGCGCGTCCGGGTGCCACATCCCGTCGCTTCGATGAATACTATCGCTGCTATCCAGTGGCGATGCTTCCTGGTCCTGAAAGAGAGAGCGTGAACCACGGTGGCAAGGTCATCATGCCTCCTAGCGCATTGGACAAGCTTACCCGACTTCACATAACCTATCCGATGCTGTTCGAGCTTCATAATGGTGCGAAAGAGAGGATGACACATGCGGGTGTCCTTGAGTTCATTGCTGAAGAAGGAAAAATATATTTGCCATTCTGGGTGAGTAAGACAGGCTCCTTGATGTGTTATGACTGTACTAACACTCGGTTCTCTGCAGCTGATGCAAACACTACTACTGGAACCTGGCGATCTTCTCCAAATCAAATCGACGGACCTCCCTCCCGGCCAGTTTATTAAAATTCAAGCACAGTCAACCTCCTTCCTCGATATCAGTGACCCGAAAGCTGTGCTGGAGAACGCCTTCCGGAATTTCTCATGCCTTTCCAAAGGCGACGTCTTCACTTTTTCATACAACGATCAAGTATATGAGATGGCAGTATTGGAAACAAAACCCTCTGGGACTAAGAATGCCATCTCCGTTCTAGAGACCGACTTAGAGGTTGATTTCGCCGCTCCGGTTGGATTCGAAGAACCACAGCGGGCTAGTGGAACCAGCACGCCCGGTAGCGTCATTAGCGGTGGAAAGCCTCCAGCCGGTGGACTATTGCGCCCCCATGGCACCATGGCACAATCGATCAACTACCCCGCCATTGCCCCAGAGGCCACCGATGCTGCCACTGGTGCCCGTGCGGCATCATCAAACTTTTTGTCTGGAGGACAACGTCTGAATGCCAAAAAGGGCAGCAAGGCCCCAACTCCTAAACCTTCTACTCCTACCCCAAGTGCCTCAAATCCCTCACATCCACCTCCAACCCGAAGAACCAATGGCCCGCAACCACTTCGACTCCCACCCAATCAGCTCTTCTTCGGGTATGCAATAAAGCCTGTCAAACCCCGCGATGAGAATGGTCTAGTTGTCCCAGATGATCAGCCCAAGTTCCAAGGAATTGGACAAACTTTGCGTGGGAAGCGAAAGGATCAGTCCGACTCTGCCACCCCCTCGGGAAGTGAGGCTGAAGCCCAAAAGAGCAAGGGAAACGCCAAAAAATCCGACGGTAGTGGCCGAACTTTGGGGAAGCGTTAATGTCTGCATGATCTATTCAAACCTTAACTTCCATGACTCTCCTGGGATTTAAGATAGTGGATTCTCCAGATTCCGCGGCGGGGTTTCCTTGGAAGTCATGGCAAGGTTCATCGTGGCGTTTGGGGAGTTTTTTACTTTCGCTTGAATACATAAAAGGCCCTGCAACGAACCTCAATATCTTCATTCTTCTCGTAGGCAGTCCCAATTTCCGCGTCGTCATCTTGGTTTTCAAGCCAGCGTCCTTTTGCAGTCCTTTTGCCTCGAAATCTCAGCATCTCGGGGACTTTTACAACACTCCGAGGATTGGAAATTCCCCATGTACTTTGAAATGATCAAATGCGTCTTTAACATATCTCAGCACATTGTTTCAACCAGCAGATAAGCCACCCTTGTGGTCAGAAACGTCGGCTAGTGCGCACGGCTCTTGGCAAGCCGAAGATCGCCGTCCACATGCCAAAAGTTAGAAGACTACACTGTTGATCTCACACCACTCACATGGTGTTGTATCATGGCCAGAATGGCTGGCCCCCTCGGTCTATCTCCAAGACCCGCTCGGACCAAGCGAGAAGGCGGATCGGCCAGTGATATTCATTGCATTTTGGATGAATGCACCCCCGCGCGCCCTAGCCAAATATGTGGTCGAGTACAGGCAGATGGTACCATCAGCACGAATTATCTTCGTCAGAAGCTCATCAAGTGACTTCATCTGGCACCTGGGGGCCCAGGCCCGGCGAGCCCGCATCGCCCCAGCCGTGGAAGCAATGCGCGGTCTGGTGACCCCTGAGAATCCAGTATTTGTGCACTTCTTCTCGAATGGAGGCATGTCCAGCACGATACACCTATTACAAGCCTGGATAAATACGACAGGGGTCCCATTACCCTTGTCGGCAATGATCATAGATAGTGCACCAGGCAGTCCGAGCCTACGAGCGGAATTCAAGGCTTTCTCATTTGCGCTTCCGCGGATGTGGATCTTGCGGCTACTTGGAAAAGGCTTCCTTTTTGTTTTATTGGTTCTCTTCAAGTTGATCTATTCCTTTTCCCCGTTTCCAGATCCCATCTCCTTTGCCCGAGAGCTCATCAATGATACCTCTTTGGTTCAAGCCGCTAACCCGGACGGGACTCTCAATCGTTGCTATATCTACTCGGATACGGATGAATTAGTGGACTGGCGCGAGGTGGAATCTCATGCGGCAGATACCGAAACTGAGGGTTGGGTGGTGCGCCGTGAAGTGTTTAAGAACACCGCTCACGTTGGACATATGCGAGCGGAGTCGGATCGGTATTGGAGCATTGTTAAAGACTACTTGGGAGCTTTGGTTTTGCTTTGACCTGAGGAAGACTAGAGTGCAACATGACAGCCATCATGTTATGCGGCTGACATACGCATCTGCTTGCCTAAATCTTTTTTCCCCTTCTTCAAGTCGTCTACTCGTGGCTATATAGGCACTAGCAACAGGAAGTTACTTCCATCGAGCCTTTGAAGCCCAATTGACTTCTTTTAGGGATTTTTAAACAGTACAGCAAAGTTTCGCAATTCCATAGTCATAGGGTTGAATCACTATGACTATACCTCAAGATCAGCTGGGCATACGCCGATTTGCTAGAGCCAAATTGAAGGCCCGGACCCAAGTTCCGCAGCTCCCGTCTGAAGGGCCATCAACCATTGTGATCTAGCCTAGAATCGAAGACGACGACAGCCCTGCATCATAACTCTGGCCCTCATTTTAAGTGTCTTCAGCTTGGTTCTCCTCGCTATTCTCTCATTCCAATGGTCATTGTTCACTTGTTTGGATTTTGGTGTCTGATATTGTGCATGTCATCGCAATATAAACCTTGTTAAAGTGGGTTTGGGACCCTGCATTGGCCCTGTGTTGTTCTGACCGAGCAATACAGATCATCGTATCACTATTGAGGACTTTGCTCTGGTGTACTATTCTTGACCAAACGCAACGATGTTCCAACACCAATCCCACGACCCGAGCTTCCTCGAGTCCAAGGCAGGGAAAGATTACCGCTTCGCTCTTCCGGGATTCAACCGGCCGTTAGACTTTGCTCCGATGGAAAAAAACATCTACGGTGTCGAAAGTCGGAGTATTTTTCCATCTGCGCTGGATGATAGAGATATCCAAGCAGGATTCGTGGAGTAAGTGCAGAGTCACAAACACCCGAAAGGGACTCAATGCTGAAAATTTTCACAGCCTGCCCGTCTTGACCCTCCGTGAGATGCGTATGGTAGAGTTTATGGAGGACCTGACTGATATTCCTGAGTGGTGGAAAAAGGTTGGTTTTCCGATAAAACTGAAACAGATCATTCTGCTGAAGTCATCTCAGGTCTTTGAGCCCGCTACACAAGAGAAGTGGAAAAAGGCCGCTATGAACAGTGGCAAAGACATCACCCTCAACATGGCTGAATGGATTATTGATGAACTTCAATTCAAGGCAATGATCTACGAGGTTACAGATGTAGTCGCCCTGTACAACGGCGATGTCACCAAGTCTGATACAAACCTGCCTAAATCGCTCTACAGCGATATGAGATCCCAGTTCGCTGCGCTAGAGTACGATGAGAAATCAATGCAGTACTTCTATCCAGGAAGCCTAAACAAAGAGCGTGACCTCATTTCCATGGCATTGTACCCGGTCGTTTACGGCAAGACTCGCATTCTCACAGACAGAATCATTGGGCTCGATGACGCCCTCAGGTACGCTGGCAAGGGCGAAGTTATTCCAGTCCCAAAAGAGACTGGAATAACCAGGGAAGATATTGCCTGGCGTGTCTTAGCCCGCGCAGATATCAAGGTTCGGCCCTACAACCGGAATTATCAGATCCTTCCTTCAGACTGGGAACTCGGCGATGATGGACAGTGGCACATAACCACATACATCAACAACGTACACCCAGTCAAACACCGGAACCTCTACAAGCTCCTCGAGCAGGCTTTCAATTGCATCATTCCGCAGTGGAATGCAACCTTGACTCCCCTCAAAGACATGCTCCATTCCCGTGCCCGAATCGAATACCACAAGGCAGAGTATTATCCAGTCCCAAAGGAAGTAGCTGCTCAAGCACCTCAGATACACCCAAGGGAGGCGCAGAGTGAGTTTGATGTGCGCACGGAGAAGTGGAGAATGGAGAACTACCGCGCCATCCAACCCGACGCAGGCAAGTTCATTCCCTGGGCAGTTCCACCCTGGCTGATGGACAAATTGCCCGAGGACCTACCTAGTGCGGTTCGCATTGAGCGAGGTGTCGATCTCAACCGGGACTACAAGGAACGCGGACTTCAGGTCATCACACGTCTGTTGGGCGTTGATCTAACTCCGGAAGATCCAACTTTCGAGACAAACTGGCATGGTGACGGCACGATGGTGAGTTTAGAAGCCCTAAGAATCACTGCAGTACTTGCTAATAACAAAACACAAATTAGAACGAGCACATCTGCGCCGTAGCAGTCATACCATACGACCACAACAATTTACTCGACCCGTTCATGGAATTCCGCAACATAGTAGAATCCGACACGCTTGGAGAAATCGAGCACGACCCAAGCGACTTCATCTGGCTGCAGCAAGTCTTTGGCTTGACAAACGGCGAGCCAGCAATCCAATACCCAGGTTCGATCTGTGCTAACATCGGCCGGGTGATCATGTACCCAAGCACTATACAGCACAAGTTTACGCGCTTCGAGCTGAAGGACAAGACTAAGCCTGGATACGCGCGCACCGTGGCGTTTTACCTCGTCGATCCTAATATCCGCATCATCTCCACTGCCAATATCCCGCCGCAGCGTCTGGATTGGACTAAGGAGTTGTCGCCTGGGGAAGGCGTTAAGGAAGGCTTGCAAAGGCTAGCGCTTGAGAATATGAAGTCCAAGGGTGATATGCCGATGAGTCTAGAGGAGGCTTTGGAAACAAGGATCAAGCTTCTGAAGGAGATGGATGAATTTACTCGCTATCAGCATGTGGCTTTTGAGTCGAATGTTTTAATGCTCTAATTTGGTGCGGCTTCTTTTGATTTTCTTCATTTCTTCCAGTTTGTTTATTAAAACGTCGTTTTGTTTTTGAGGATTGCTGCCCAGCTGTTTTTGTCGATCCAAGGTGCTAGGGTCGACGCATCAGCTACGTGCTACAGAAAAGAACAACTAGGTAAAGATGATATTAAATCGCCGCGCTATGCCATTCATTCGTAAGACCAAGTATGCACATGTCCCATTTTGATTGTCCCAAACTCCAATCGACCCAAATCCAAGTCCTTCGCTTAACGTCCCTTCATCTCAGGGAACTCATCATCAAGCTTCAGACGAGCGGTAACGTTCATACTCATCAGTTCTTGAATCAGAAGTTTGGCAGCATAGGGAATAACCATCTTCACAACGGAACGAGACGATTTGCACCCAGGACACCAGTTCAAGTAGCCCATGAAACCGCACTGTTCACAGACATCGACCTCGTGGCGATCAGATGAGATCATCAAACGCTCCAGCAGCAGCTGACTAGTGCCGTAGGCAATCAAACAATCACGTTCCATCTCACCGAGACGCAGACCTCCATTACGCGAACGACCCTCGGTAGGCTGGCGGGTAAGAGTAGCAGTAGGACCCTTGGCACGTGAGTGCATCTTATCTTGAACCATGTGCTTCAGTTTCTGGTAGTAGATGGGACCAGTGAAGACGTAGAAAGGCAGAGCCTCACCAGTGATACCGGAAGTGAGATAGTCCTTGCCACCATAGCTGAAACCTTTGTCGATCAGGATCTGGGACATTTCTTCGACGGGGCTGCCGCCGAAACATGTACCGTAGCCATGTTGGCCGGACAAAACACCTGCCTTACCAGCGACCAGCTCCAACATCTTTCCGACTGTCATTCGAGAAGGGAAACCGTGGGGGTTCATGATAATGTCCGGATTGATGCCTTGGTCCGAGAAAGGCATGTCCGCCTGGTCTGCAATAATTCCTACAACGCCCTTCTGTCCGTGGCGGGAAGAGAACTTGTCGCCGACCTCGGGGCGACGAGTTTGTCGGGTCAGGACCTTGATAAGCTGTGTCTCGCCTTCAGTGGCAGATACCAGGACCTTATCTATGTAGGAAGGATCCGGGAGCTTGTAGTTCATAGACGCCTCGATAACATCTCCCCCGCCCATACCGGAGCCAGTGAATCCCATGGAGTTTTGTACCCTGGGTGTGACCTTGTTGATGTAGCTTTCGCCGTTATTGACCATTTCGCCGACTGCAGCCAGGCCATCAGACTCGAGAAGCGCGTGCTTGCGGATTGGAACACCATTCTCGAATGTCGGTCCTTTGAGAGAATCTTTGGCTCCGTTGGGGTAACTCTTCAGCGTTGTGACATACTTGCGGAAGACCTGGCAACGTCCAAAGCCACGGTCCACGGACCCCTTGTTCAAAACCAGAGCGTCCTCAATATCGTAGCCAGAATAACTCATTACGGCAACAGTCGCGTTTTGACCCGCAGGGAGTTGGTCGTACTTTGTCAGCTCAATAGTTCGTGATTTGACCATAGGCTTTTGTGGGTAAACCATGAGGTAAAGAATGGAGTCGATTCGCTGGAACTGATTGGAAGCAATGGCTCCTATAGCTTGCTTACCCATGGCACATTGGTAGGTATTACGCGGGGACTGGTTGTGGTGAGGATAGGGGATCAAGCCAGCAACAGCTCCAAGAACCGTGAAGGGCTCAATCTCAAGATGGGTGTGAGTATTTGAGATGTCCTTCTCGTAGATGGCGATATAGGAGTCGTTCTCCTCGTTCACATCGAGGTATTCAACAAGTCCTTGCGCAAGGAAGTCGTCAAACTCCATTTTTCCATCGCGCAGCTTCTCAAGATGCTGAACGCCAACCAGAGATTTGCCATTCTCCACGACGATAAGCGGTCTACAGATGCGCCCGTCATCGGTCGCGACATGAACAGCTCGCTGGTGGTGATTGATGTAAATGCTGACGAATTCCGAAACCCGGCCCATGCGGCGCAGTCTTCGGAAGGCATTGAGGAAGGACTTGGGGCGTCTGGTCAAACCAGTCGGTGTACCATTGATGGAAATTGTGTAAGCACCCCGAGCATAGAGCTGCTGTCCACCAACACTCGATATGTCTTCAACGCCGAGCATGAATATCAGATTTCGCACCGGTCCTTCTTCGTCGTTGGTCGTGATATGTGTCATGAGGGCCAAGTTCTTGACCAATCCACATGCCTCACCTTCGGGGGTATCTGCAGGGCACAACATTCCAAACTGGGACGGTTGCAGAGCACGAGGACCACTGACTTTACGGGTCTTTTCGAACTGACTGCTAATACGGGTCATCATACCGAGAGCTGCAATGTAGCTCAATCGGCTGAGAACGTGGGTGACACCCGCACGCTCCATGCGGAAACGTTTCAAGCTCCAGTTTCCTGTGGAGATTGCTCGGTTCATACCCTGAGTGATATGGTTTCCATGCATAGTCACGATAGTCCACGCATCGAACTGCTCGGCTCGGTTGCGTTTGTTCAGGACTTTGTCGATGTTCATCTTGATATCGAAACAGAATTTCTTGAACAGATCTTCAAATAGAAGGGCCAACATCTGACCTGCCAGTTCCAGCCTTTTGTTTCCAAGATAATCACGGTCATCAACTAGGGCCGGGTCACTCTTTGCCATTAGAACGCGACGAGCCATGTGAGCAACGTAGATAGCCTTGGGTCGGAAGTTCATGTCTTTGACCTCGATATGAGAAATAATGACGGATGCAATAGCCTCAACTGCCTCTTGCACGTGGGTCTTGCGATAAGCAGCTTGTTTGCGGTTGATCTTGATGCGACAGCCGATCCACTCAAGAGCTTGTTGTTGAGTGTAAACATCGACATTGATAGCCTCTTCGAAATTGATGGCAAAATCATCTTGATACAGACTATCGTCACCAGTAACCATTTGCATCATTTCCTTATCGGTGTGGATGCCCATGGCCTTGAGCAAAATCACGATCGGAATATCTTCATTGAGCACGTTGTGCTTGACGTAGAGTCTTCCTTTTTTCGATACAATGTAACTTTTTGATTTACGCTCGTTGGAGGAACTGTGGATATTAGTGATAGTAAAACCAAAGAGGTTAGACGTGGACATACCTGGTAACCGAGGCCTGAACGATCTCCTTCTTTGGGTCGGTTTCAACAATAATTCTGTTCTTGCTCAACTGCTCTTGTACAAGAATGACCTTTTCTGTTCCGTTGACGACGAAGTAGCCACCAGGGTCAAGGGGACATTCATTGAGGACGCTCATCTGAGCAGGCGTTTTATTCGACAGCACACACTTAGAACTACGGAGCATGATGGGAATTCTTCCGATGGGGACTGCTCTTCGGATAACCCTTTGCCGACCACGGACATACTCGAAGTCAACGAGAATGGGTGCGGCATATGTAGTGTCTCGGAGTCTGCACTCTTGCGGCGTGATCGTGGATTCGAAATCAATTCCACCATCGCCTTGCTCGTCGGCTCGCCGAGGCGAGGCCACGTAGATATCGGTAAACTTGATGTAAAAGTTGTGGTCCACATCACTTCGAATGGTAGAGCTTGATTCGACAATCTTCTTCATTTGCACCTCCACAAAGTAGTTATATGAGTCAAGGTGCTGCTTCACCAGCCCTTTGACCTTGAGGAATGCTGGCAGCAGGTTCCATTTGTCCCTGGCGGTATTGATCGGGTCTGTAAGTCCCTTGTTGTAGTAGAATGGTTCTAAAAGCGCATCGAATGGATCCCTAGCCTTAAAATTCGAAGCCGGTTCGGCCTTTCCGGGAATGGAATGCTGGTGAGGCTGAGGAACAGGGTTGGATTGAGACGGGCGCTTAGTTTTCGTGGAGTCAGTCGCCGATTCGGTTCCGGCCTAGCCAAATAGCAGAGCAGTCAGTATAATCATCGGAAGTATGGGATTTGCGACTGGAAAAAAAGTTTTGTTACCTCTGAAAGACGTCGCGCTCGACTGGCCGCAGAGGGCTGTGGCCTCTTGCGCGGAGGCATTTTGGCTAGTCGGCTGAGGTGCAGAGATATCGACTAAGAAAGATATCCCAATTAAAATACTCAGTTGTCCAAAGGGAAGCTCGCATGATGGATCCTCATGGAGGGGAAAGATTTGAATAATTTGGAGATGGCTTAATAAGCCGCGGGCTGGAGCTTATTGATGCCTGAGGCATCAGTGGATAACATCCCAACGTCTCTGTTAGATGTTCTTTCAGATGTCAATTTTATTTTTTTAAAAAAAAATTATCCTATCGGACTTATAGCTAGACGAGTCATCGTGTCTCGGGGTAGAGATGTTGACGGCTGAGGTGCTGATTTGTCCTCGTTAACTGTATTAACTATATAGATTCAACCAGGAGCCATTATAATGGCGTGGAGTATACATGACCAGCTTATCACCCTGCGATGTGCAACAAGCGCACCCTGGTGATAGACGATTTTGGTATGCACAACTACAACATAGGATAGTCATTTGAATTCCTAACCATTCTATCACTTCCACTGGGATGGTATTTAGAGTTCCTCCATTCCCCTTTTCAGAGAGGCATAGCTGCAGTTCGGTAAGCTTTTTGTAGTAATAAGTATTGAAGTTAGCTCTCTGAGATAAATATCTTCAGACGACTCCAGCTCATCAAACCAGAATGAAATTCAAAAAGTAGAATTTTCTCGAGCTTCGTTCAGTTCTTAAATCCTTAACCAATCTGACTTCATAACTATATCCATCTCACTATCAATTCACAGTACAGAACCCAAGAATCGGAGCTGCGATCCTTAACTCCGAGGTAGCAGGAGGCTCAAAAGATCAGACGACGGAGCAGGTTTTGGGCCAACCACTAAACATTAACTGATAGTACCAATCATCCATACTAGTCTCAACTTTTCATAACGCGTGGAGCACTCTGTACAGAGTCAAAATAACGAGACATTACCAGGTTGTCAAGGATTTGTAGATTGACGTGGTGGTACATTTAGTGGGTCTTTGCGCATGCAGGCCACCCCCGGACATTTTATGCCTGCACGGACAAATTGTTGATCAGGATTGACTTGATTCTGCTCGAGGGAGATGATCGATCACAGTACTTTATGAGAAGCGGTCACGTATAAGACGTGGAAAAGAGGGTTTTTACCGCAGATACCAAGCGCCAGGAATTCCGTTCATTAAGTACCGTGATTATTATTAGCACTTGTAGTTGCACTGCTTTTGTGGCATCTGATTTATCGAGTTTAGGAGCTTAGGAACACTTGGTACTGCATGTACGATGTAGTATTATGTGATGTCTGTGGCGAAATAGGTTTGACCGCAACTTTGAAATCGCCACCCTTCATTTCACGGACACAGACTGCACCGCAAGATTGCCTTTTCCAGAAGGGATTGCGCATTTTGAACTGAATGCATGGATCTATGTTGTATTAGCACTATGAGTGGTCCAATGTATCGGTCCTACCACTTAAAGATAGAACTATTTATCGCTATAGCGAAAGAAAATTACAAAGTATACAACGCTATCCACACGTGGTTGGCAACAAAGACAGGGGTTATCTTTATCACCCAACATGTGCTCCGTAAAGTACCGTCCGATGAGACATTCAAAGGAAAGCATTAGCAATGCTATCGACTACGTTATCAATAGTCCAGAAGGCCCATTGTAGGGGTTTCTTGCGGCAGGGATTGGCTAAGTGGGAGAGGGGGGGGGGCGGGGACTACATTGCCTAGGGGGTTTCAGATATTATTTGCCAATGGACTTTTGGGAGCAGAGTCAAAGTGTCTTCTAGTCAGATCCTTTCATGACTGACTTCGAATTCTTATTCGTGATTTTAAAACCGAGGCAGCCAGTCAATTTGAGAGGTGTACGTTAGGCGTTGGGCATGAAAGAAAGTAATTAAAATCGGTTCAATTTGGGCGTCAATAAGTGGGTTTTTGAATATCAGCTGATTATCGCATCCCCCCTTCAAAGTATGTGAGTAGCTCACTAGTTCGTGCACAGTTTGGTTCGATGTACCCATATGTTGTATACTATCACTAGACTTCACAGAGATCCGCACAGATCGTAGCGAGTACTCAGCTCAGATCGAAAATCAAAATATCGATCGGATATCTAAACTGATAGTACATTAACAGATACAGGAGAACAAGTGGCCTATTGGTGATCCTCCCGATGTGTGAATAAATGGATAAGAATGACTGGGGTCTGGAGGATCCCCGCTCCGTTGGTATGCTTGTCATTTGGATCAGGGGCTCCAAGCGACACGGATCAGCGCTGGTGGTACCCCGTACTTACACCGCTTGTCCTGCCATTGAGGGTGAGAGCCCTTACCATGCAGATAATGGTATGGGGAAGTTTAAAACAGATATGAATCTCTGCGAGAATTTCCAGAAGCATAAAAGAAACATGGATGATCAGACTCCACAAAAGAAAAGGAAAAGGAGAGCGCCAGTGGCGAAGACCCGTGGAACGAGAAACAAAGAGAAGGAAATGGTCCATGGGTGAGGAATTCGTCGCACACCATTTTTCACGTTTCGTCCGAGATTGGGATATGATTCTTCTTAACAACAACATACGGAGTACCATCTCATTCGGCAATTTCACTAAGATTCAGGTACAGGCGCCTAACTACCCTAGATGGCGATCCGCTGTCACATCTTCTCGCACCGAGGTCACTTCAGTCTCCACAAGTGATTGTTAAGAGGGGTCATCATGCACCTGCAGCTGCCACGCTCTGGTCGACCAGCGCATTGAAACCCCCCCCCCCCTCTTTCCTGGAAGTCCTAGCACAGTGGATTTCTCTCGTGTATAGCCCAGGCTGTCCTCAGTCCACCATCAAATTGACCATTTGTAGCGTCTACAAGGCCTGGCAAGAGTTATAGCCTATTGACTACCCCGGGCTCTTCCCGGGACAAAAGCGTTCAAGTTGTACAGACAGCGGAGGCTCTCCAATCAATCAAAACCCGATCAATTTCCGAGTAATTACTGAATCATATGCTGTGGCCTTCAAGGTTATGTTGGCAATATAGTATATGAGTATAGTAGAGAAGTACATAGGGAAGCAGAGAAAGAATATACATGGGGAACAAGTATTGTTTCGGCGCCTCACCCGTAGAGAGAGCGTGGAAGCAACACATACCATATAATCTCACAACATAGATACGTATGTAAAATCAACAGATCAAATGATTACTACCACTTGAATCCTAGTTAAAAGACAAAAAAAAAAAAGAAAAAAAAAGAAGAGAGCACAGTCGTTTCCTAAAAAAGGATCTCCCCGCTCTGATCTGGACTCCCAGCCATTTTCTTCCCCCTCTTCCTCTTCTCATTTCCTCTCTTTGCAACTCCTCTTTTGTACAACAGTTTTGTATCGTTCGTTTGGGTCATTGTTAGGTTGTATTTCCCCGCGCGACACTCTCGTTTCGCCCGCGCCTCGACTCCTCGTGTTCGCTAAGTCGGAGCGGTAAGAGGAGCTTTATCCCACTCTGCAACTCCCTACTGATCTCCGCACCGTCAGGTACACACGATATTTTCAGTCTAAATTGCCCATAGATGACTTGCGCAGCTTGAACTTGCATAGCACTTACCCCATCTACCGGATTTGACTCCTCTCGAGGCGTTCATTGTGTAAGTTAGGCCCTTTTTGCGAGTGCAGATCGTCTCCGCCTGGCGCCAACCCCTAAGCTCCTCTCTCGAATTCCCCTTGCTTGAGACACCGACGACATATACACCGCCAGCCCACCCTTCTTTCCCATTCGGATATTCCCCGGCCACCGGAGGATGTCGCGTCACAATGTCTGGGGCTGGTCGTAATTGCTTTCCCAGAGAAGCTTCCCTAAAACTCTTTTTGGCGTCTACCAATCCTTATATTTGCTGACCGGACGTCGTGTTTGGTGTATAGTTGAACGATTCAGCCGCACTGCCCACCATGGCCTTCAAGCATGGGCTGAGCGAACGCCTCGACGAGCTGCGATTCCCCTCCTCACGATCCCCGCCATCGGAGTCTGCGTTCCCTGGATACACTTCTCTTTCCCCGGGTCATTCAAACTTTGGATCGGGATTCTCGTCTCACCCAGCTGGTGAGGTTCGAGCAAACTTGCAACGTCGGTTTACGACCGATTCAAGCAAGTTCTCGTCATGGAATTCTTTGAATCCAAGCTCGGGATCTGGCTCGAGCTCTGGCTCTGGTTCCGGCCAGATGCAAGATCCAGTGGATTTGCTGTCTTCGGTAAGATTGACCGTTCCTTTTTGAGTTAGCAATTATCCCCGTGCATTGACCGCACGTACCTGTCTCATTTTCTTTGACTTTTGGTCGGCGATGGGTGGAGGTGTTTGAATTGGTGTCTTCCTGGTTGTCTAGCCTCTGCAAGATTCTCTGAAATCACACAGAAGTCTCTGAAAGTTCTGTCAGCTTCCGGCAGATCACGCTACCTGTGTGCAGCTTCAAGTTGACGAGACTACTATTCATCCACCGCCATTCATCATTTTCATCTCCTTCAAGTACCCTATTGTTTCTATTCATCAGATTCCTTCTCCATTTATCAGCGAGGCAAACTCGCCGAAGTCATTGACTCGATTGATGCCTATTTGTGCTTCAAACCCGTCTTTTCTGAGTCTATTCAGACGTCAAATCGATTCTTGCATGCTAGGCTGCAATCCGTTCTGGGTTGGTATTAAAACACGATAGCTTCACCTTCCTCCCTTTGCCTTCTATTTGCTCCTTCATTAGGTCTTCATCTTTTTTCATCCCTTCTGTTTTGAACAAGTTCACTGCCTGTGCTACCGGACTTGTTCTTTGCTGCTGATTTCCCGTCACATTCCCGTTGATTTCTTGACTCAACATCGTGCGTTCTGTTCGTGTTTCCTTATGCAAATGACTGTTTTCGGTGGTCTATGAAGATGTCTGTTTTCTTGGTGTCTTTCCAGACATTTGTTGTGCAATTCTGAAAAGTTTTGTCAATTGAGCTGTCGAGGCTTACACCTTTCTCTCACTTCGTTCAAACTGATATCCTTCCCAAGCTTTCCCAGCTGTTTTCGCTTGACCATATATCATTCTGAGAACCATATCTAACACCTTCAATAGTTTGAGAAAAAGAGACAGCACATCGAGTACATGCGTGAACAAAAACGCCGTTTCGAAGAGGATATGAAAATCCTGGATCTTCAGCACGCTCGCGAGAAACTGGAGATGGAGCAGCTCGCCCGGGACTTGGCTCAGGCTGGCATCTCTGGGCCAGTCAGTGAGCCAACTACCCCACCTGAGTACCGTGATACTACCGTGTCGAGTGCATTTAGCCGCCCTGCTCGTTTCTCCACCTCGAGCGTGACATCTTCTCCCGGCTTTTTCAATGCCTTTGCTCCTTCAGCCTTAAACTCGCCCCAGGCTGCCTCCCAGCCAGTTCAGCCGTCCATTGACCGATCTACCGGACACTCGGTCCCTGGCTCACGCCGAAACTCCGAGAAGGACGACTTGCTTGCTGATCCTACTTCTCCCTTCCGACCAGGCCCATCGTGAGTGGAAACCCTATTTTTTTTGCCGCAGTATTCAAGGCCTGTCTAATGTTTCTTTAGTGCTGCTCATCGATACTCGCTGCCCTCCGGTAATCCAAATGGACAGTCTCATCAGTCCAGCATCTCCGGTTTGAATGGATCACGCCTTGATACATTCAATGTTCCCAAGTATCTTTTCCCCAGTGATGACGAGAAGCCTCATAATCACCTGAGGGAGTTGGAACGCCTATCAACCCCTGATATCAAGAGTTACATCAAGTTGACCGAGCCTGATGACAAGTTTCTAACTCTGTCCCGTCGTGGTGACTTGAATATGGTAAGCTTCTTGTCAATTAACACAGCACCCTGTATCCTAATCATTTGCTTAGTTGTCGGCGAACCCTGATGCTCATGATCTAGCCAACCCTCGTGCCCGAGGCTCCGATACGTATTCCAACCACAGTCGGCACCGATCATCTCATCAGAGTATGCCGCAGAACATCCACAACTTTGGGCGTTTGAACCAGCTTGGGAGCCAGAATTACGAGGATCACGGCGGCAACTCTGTCCACCCCTCACGCCACAGTGCTCGTCGTTCCATGGGAAGCCAGATCACCTTCTACGATGACCGCCACGATGGGATTGTAACCCCTGTATTCTCGAGTCGGCCCAACGCTCTGCAGTCATCATACTCAACTAATGATCTGTCTACCATCAGGGGAAATGAAGCTGACAACGCAACTACTCCCCCAAAGACTCACAACGAGCACATGCATCACCACATTACAAGCATGGGGCGTATTTCCCAGGGTGGTGTGAACAGTCAAGTCAAGGCCGAGTTTGATGAGACCGAGTTCTACGATAATCAATCTACTTTACACGCAAGCGCTCCACCCTTCGGGCCTCAGCTCACTTCGACTGCATCTACCAGCCATGTTCCGAGTTCGGTTGTTCAAATGGGCTTGCCATTCCAAGTCCCTGCGGTTCCTGCCTTCAATTATGGAATCCAGTCCTACATCGGCCAAACAACTCCGATAAATGGCCACATGCAAAACTTCGGAGGATCTTCTGCTTACAACAACGCCTATTCTGGCTACGGTTCTGGGTTCCGCTCTAATGAACCTGCGGCCCGAGGGAATATGGCTCAGCGTCGCCAAGATAACGATGCGACCCAGCTCACTCGTTTCGGTAACTACCCCTTGGAGCACTACAAGGGTGAGTTGTACAGCCTGTGCAAGGACCAGCATGGTTGCCGTTACTTGCAACGCAAGTTGGAGGAGCGAAACCAGGAGCATGTGCAGCTGATATTCAGTGAGACATACATGCATGTTATTGAGCTCATGACTGGTATGAAACATATGAGAAGCCCCGCCTTTTAACCCCATTGTCAAAACTAACCTCTCTACTTGAACAGATCCATTCGGTAATTATCTTTGCCAGAAGTTGTTGGAATATTCCAACGATGAACAACGTACTGCTTTGATAAACAATGCTGCCCCTGAGCTGGTTAAGATTGCCTTGAATCAGCATGGAACTCGTGCACTGCAGAAGATGATTGAATTTATCTCGACCCCCCAGCAGACTCAGACAGTAATTAATGCACTGCAGTATCACGTCGTTGATCTTGTACAGGATCTGAATGGCAACCACGTTATTCAGAAATGCCTCAACCGCCTCTCTCCGGAGGATGCTGAGTTCATCTACGAGGCTGTTGGAGGCAATTGTGTTGTTGTTGGTACTCATCGCCATGGATGCTGCGTCCTTCAGCGTTGCATTGATCATGCTTCCGGTCATCAGAAGGCTCGTCTTATTTCGCAGATTACCTCGCACTCGTTCGCTTTGGTCCAGGATCCCTTCGGAAATTATGTTGTGCAATACATTCTGGACCTTGCGGAGCCCAGCTTCACCAACCCACTGTGTGCTACCTTTGGAGGCAACATTCCTCAGCTGTCCAAGCAAAAGTTCAGCTCCAACGTGATCGAGAAGTGCCTCCGAACTGCTGACAACTACATGAAGCGTGAGATGATTGATGAATTCCTCATGGGCAATGAGCTTGAAAAGATGCTGCGTGATTCGTTTGCGAACTATGTTGTTCAGACGGCCATGGACTTCTGTGATCTCGAGACTCGCAATCGCATTGTGGAGGCTGTTCGTCCTATTCTTCCGTCTATCCGCCAAACTCCTCATGGTCGTCGCATTGCTGGAAAGATCATGGCTGCGGATGCCAACAGCCGCAGCAACGGAAGCAGCGCTTCTACCAGCGGCCAGGCTACCCCTAATGAAATGAGCAGCACTACACAGATTCCTAAGAACTTGCTGCAGAAACCATTCATATACCATCAGCCGGGTCCTCAGAGTACTCAGTCTTCGAGCTCATCCGGCGTATGCAGCACCCAGACCTATGTGCCTCAGTCCTCCCAGAGCTCTGTCTCCAACACTCCTTCGGGACAAAGTGACACCTCATCTGTTTACACTGCGCCCACTCCTCAGCTGTCTGTGAAGCTTGGTCCGCAGCAAATCCAGAACTACTTCTGATTGGGTCTGGGACACTCACATCAGTGCTTGTCTTTCACAACCCCACAACCTCAGTGTACCCATAGTGAGACGATGCAACGAACCTTTTTTTTTTAATTTCATGATTTTACGGTTACTTTTACACTGTTATCGAAGTGGGCCTACGTCGATTGCACATGCCATGATCATATATCCAATGATTTACCACATGCGTTTTACTGCAAACTACCGTTGAAGCAATGTGCCATGATCATTGCGTTTGGCCCTTGTTGCATATTGCATACCTTTCATGAAGCGACCCGTGCATGATGCAGACATCTTTGGAACTATGTTCCTCTGCTCCCTTTTCCCCCCTACATCTTGTATTTCTTGTTTTCACCTTCCCCCCTGGTTTCCCTCCCCCAAACGTCTTGCGTGCCAAGGACTTGAGTGTATCTGGCGATGGTTTTGGATCGTTCCTTGGAACAATCTGGTACTCTATTGCCCTGATTTGAGGACTGGTTCTTCCAGCTTGGGTTGTTTTTGCTTCTTCTTGCTTCTTTTTGCTTCTGTTTCTTTTTTTCCTTCCACACTGTGATTTTCAACTCTTATTTTTTACCCATTCATCGTTGTACTTTTGCACCTTGCTCTTTTCGAACTGCGTTTTGTGTTGTGCCCGTTCCTTTACATTGGTTCATTGTTGTACGCGAGTTAAGCTGAAGATGGACATTACAATGGCCCTGGAAGCATTTTCCATTGATGACCTTGATTCTCTTCCGGCCAGCTTGCTGCTTCTTGAGATTGATGAAGAGTGCCATTTGGTCCTTTGAGCCAGATCTTCTTCATACATGATCCTGCACACACTCTTTGCATGCATTTTAGCAATGCAAAGCTGAATTAAGGTTTCATATAATCTTCTCCCTTTTCAACACCAGTAGTTTTTCCACAAGTCCTGTGTTTTCGTAATTTTCATTAGCCTTTGACGCCAAATCTGCAGCGCGACACGTGATCACGTGCATACCAAACGAGTCGCCCTGCGGAGCTTTAGCAAGATGCCGCAACTTGCTTTAGACACCAAGTTCGCCTCCAAGGTCCGAAACAAACCGACTGGGCCTCTCATGCTGCCAAAAGAGGTTACCAGCTCATTGAGCCAACAATGGCCTTGTCGCGATGTCCAGATGCGGCAGCTAGTCAGTCTTCTGAGTGTGAGTTGACTATGCCGACAACAATTTCGCCAATCTTCCTTGGAGAAAGTGGCTGACCTCAAGCGATCTTCGAATAGCCTCACGTTCCTAGTCCTCCAACATTGGTCGTCTATGGTATCTCTGCGACCTGCAAATCGACTATCCTCCGCGCCGTCCTCGCTACCCTCGAAGTGCCGCACGCTATTGTGAGGAGCTCGGAATGTATTACGGGACGGCATCTCCTGACGAAAATTCTATGGAATACGCTGGAGGCACTGGGCCAGAAGGAGGAATGGGAGACATCCGGCAAGGGAAGATGCGAGCACGTCAGTGGCCTTGCAGTCTTGCTTGAGGATTGTCTAGCAGCGAGATCAGTTGAGAACCACGGCAAATTCGTGCTGGTGCTCGATGAGATTGACAGGCAAAGAGAGGCGCCACACACTTTGCTGTCAGCGCTGGCCCGGCTAGGCGAGATCGTGAGTCTTGCTGGCTTTGGGTGAAATTTGTTGGTTGGGTGTGGAGTGTTGCGGCTAACCCGATGATTTTTGTAGATCCCGTCTCTCTGTGTTATTCTGGTCCTCAGCTCGACTCCACGGCCGTTGTTTCTCCAAAGTGCGGCGGTTCCGCACGTCAGTTTCCCTCCCTATACCCGCAAGGAGGCTATCCACATCATCCTCAGTTCGGATGTGCCGGTCGTGAATGGGTTGCTTGATGAAACCTCCTCGAAGGTATATCCGTACTTTGTATCTACAGTCTACGACTCATTGGTTGGACCAACTGCAGGCTCCATACCGGATTTTCGGTCCATCTGTGACAGATTGTGGCCCCGGTTCGTTGCGCCAGTAGTGAATGGCGAAACTCCCCCAGGCGGAAACAATGAGTGGGATTTCTCACGGCTGCTTGTCAAGAACAGAGCCATTTTCCGATACCAGGGCGAGTCTGCGCTGGTGCACCGTATTGTCCCCGATGAGACTCCTGCCAGCGCGAAACGGGCCCCTTTGGCAAAACCCTCAATCCCTTCAGCGCTGCCTTCTCTACCCTATTTCTCGACCCTGATCCTCACGTCCGCATATCTAGCCTCGCACACGCCTCAAAGACTGGATACAATCTTCTTCTCCAAATTTTCCTCATCATCACTTTCAGCCCGGAACAAGCGTGCCCACCACCGCCGACGTTTGAAGGTCCTCTCCCAAGCCCAGGCCGAAGAGAGACAAACCGCAAACGATGGCCCTTCCACCCCCAAGAAAGGGAAACGAACCAAAACCCGCATCACAAAATCGACACTTTCCTCGGCTTTTGCAACCTCCTCGGCCACCACGTCAGCTATCGGGGGTGGCGCTGGTATTGCCGGCCCATCAACCATCCTGACAGCCCGTTCATTCCCCCTAGAACGTCTCTTGGCTATCTACCATGCGATTGACCCAAACCCACCAGCGACTCCACTTCGAGTTGCAGCTGTCGCAGATCGTATCTACGCCGAACTGGCAACGCTGCGACGTCTGCGGCTCGTGGTTCCCGCTGCTGGTCACAATGCCATGGCAACGAGTAGTGGGAATACTACTGCTGATGCGGGAGATAAGTGGTGTGTCAATGTTTCTGGTGACTGGGTCGGTGAGCTGGCTAAGGGCATTGGTGTCGAGGTTGGTGAGTGGTTGGCTGGTGGTCTGGACTGAGTCAATTTTTCTTGGGGACGAAGGAGTACTGTTGGAGCCGGCTTGGTCGTTGTGCTGGGGATTTGTTTCTTGCATTTATCAACAGGAGTTTCTGGATTGACGGCTCTGCATTGCACACTGGATTTCCTTGTGGTTAGATCAATTATACCCATGTTAATATTTTACTTGATCATTGCATAGATCTTATAAGAGTTAAACGCTTGAATGCCTTTGGATTATGGTTCTTGCAAAGATCCATGATTACCGTGATACCCTCATATACCTGATTCCTACCTAGTGCACAGGGAAGTAGAGTTGCAAGATATTTCGAATATTCGACTTGGCTAATCGTACAGCTTCACCACAATGCATGCTTGCATGCAGAAGATACGTGAAAATTATCATACAGCATAAACCCACATACTGCGTTTGAACGCCAAAAACACAGAATGTCAAAGCAGCTCAAGAACAAATCGCCAAGAAACACCAAAGACCATGTGCAAAATCCCCATACCAGTGAAATCGGAGCGACACGAAAGAAACCACCAGCGCCGAATTCCACCCACTCCTACCAGGTCCACTGCTCAACTACATCATCCGTGCCAACCAATAGACTCGGTCCATGCGGCCCCCGCCACTCCGGGGTATCGTTGCCAAACTCGAATCGCACACAGCTAGGTGGTGAAGAATATTGGTGCCCCGTGAGAGGTGAGGATACCTGTAGTCCGGTTTGAAGAGAGAAGAGCTGGATTTTGCAGTCCTGGGAGGCTACAGTGAGGTGTATGTTAGCCTCGGATGGAATACAATCGGGGGTTTCTCATCAAGGAAACCTACGACTAGCCAGAAGACCGAGCTCGGTGCTCAGGTCGAAAGTGGGGAATGGCAGTGAGGAGAAACCAGGGAAAGCGAGGTAGGGCTTCGAGGAGTCGTGATATTTGAGCGCCTTTGGCGTGAAGCGGAGGTCGTACAAACGTAGCTGATAAGAATTTCAGCTAACAGCAAACGCCATGTCGTGTGGGGAAGAAAAGAAGGAGGAGCAGACAGCATCACATACCGAGGTAGGTCCCGCCGCCACAAGTCGGTGCTCATCCATCTGCTTCATTTCCATCACGGCATCGTTATGTTGAAGGCGCGTGGCACTGCCACCACTGCGCAGGTCATGGAGGAAGATCTTGGAGTTTTTCTGGCCTGCCGCAATCACGTCCTGCGACAACCATTCCACGGCATGCACGCTGTTTTGGCCCTGGCTGCGTTCGGAACGTCTTCTGTTGTTTGTGGAAACCGTATTGCCCTTGAATGGCTTCTTTGATAGGCTCCAATGGCTACTGGCCCCCTCCAGGGTATGGAGGCCTTCTGAAGTTCCTATGGCGAAGTTGGCGCTTGACCCTGTGGGTTGGGCTGCGGAGCACCAGAAAGACATCGGGTAGTGGGGTCTGATCCTAATCGGGTGAGAGACTGGAGATTTCTTAAGTAAGCGAGGTGTCCGGGGAAAGATATAGATGTAGAATCATACATGTTGGCCAGCGGTAGTTGCCACCTTCGTCGGGCTCTGGCAGAAGATGAGCCGAAAGGAAGCAGTCACCTTGTGGTCCTTCGTTCATTGTTGCACTGGAGCTATTAGCAGTGAGGCTATCAAATACCTGACCATGGAGACTTACAGAAGGTATCCTGTGTGACTTAAAGACATTGATCCTAGCTAGAAGGGGTGTTAAATGTCCCCTCAGAGAAAACAAGTGCTGGGACGCATGTGCTCACCCAGTACGGTTCTCTGAATAACACCCGTTCCATGGTGTGATCATAGCTCCACTGTGACTCGTCAATATCAGGAAAACAGACTCTATTCTCTAGTTAGCAGCCATTGATATTTGACAGCGACATGTCCACCAACTTACGATACAGACGATTCATATCCGCGAGCCGAGCCTTGTCACCCATGTTAGCCACGTATCGGGATAATAAAAAACCAATTGAAAACTCACTAGCAATCAGTGTCCCGGAACGTGGATTGCGCAAGACATGTCTGATGCTGTACGCGTTAGGCCATGGCTCAAAACGATGCAGTTCCCCACGGTGCAGTTGGCTCGCTTGAATGCGAGCCTGCTGTTCTTGCTTGGCACGGGAAGATTCAACCGCACCAATCTCTCTATGGAGATTGACCAAGGGGTGCCTCAACGATGCGGCCTTTCGGATTGTCTCTTTAATCTCGCGTTGTCTGAATCGTGTCTCGTTCTCACGCGTCTGCGATTGATCAGCGAATAGAATGAAACACAGAAGTACCTCTTACTAACAGTCAGCTCAGATCGCTTTCGCTTCACGGATTGCTGTGAGTATTGCGCATTTGGAGGAGCAGCATGGTTGGCTTGAATCTTGAAGTATTTCTTCTTCTCCGGGTCTGTGGTACTCAGTAAGTATGAGTGTAAAGAGGAGCTAGTGCGTGTAGCGGAATATTTTTATCACTGCACGAGTAGTAGTCCAAAGACTAGACAGTACAGTGTAGGTTGTGGATATGACTGGCACATAATATCAACCGCCTCGTGCTGTACTGCCCTCTCTTACCTCGACAGGAGGGAAGAAACGCACTAGAACGCGACTTACCATAATAGAACCCTGGAATCTCACGAGTCATGACTGCGGAAGACACACAGTATTGAGAGAGCACAAATCACGGAAAATGCACGAAGTGAGAGAAGAAGTCCAGCTATGTTCAAGTTATTGAGATGGGTCATGAGACATTCACTTTTCGAGTGTCTAGCACACACAAGTAACCATTAATGCCTTTGACGTCAACAGAGACAACCCCAAGCAAAAACACAGTCCAGTCTATTTAATTAAGCATCTGAAATGTGGGAGATTTCACTTTTACATCCGCAGTTCTCAGACAGCTTCGACCCTGAAGGCTCGGGAATGACGTGGGCTTATGTAATGGATCAGATTCATGCCTCAGGCCATAATTTCGATATCTGCCCTAAAGAGAATTGCTGGGCAGACTGAGCGATGCACGCAATCTCGATCTTGGATTTTTTTTTTATTTTCATTTCCGTTTTATTATGATTTTGATTATGCACTCATGGTTTTAAGACCAGACAATACCCCCAAATAACCCCGAGTTCGGCTTTCTGATTTCCCATCAATAGCATGGATGTCAATTGATGTGATGATCGGACTTTCCAATTGAATCGGATTGGGACTAGCTACATGTATTTTAGATCTCAGTCTGTGAGCTATACTCATTACAATTGAAAATCATCTGCGAACCCCCAATTTGATTGTAAGATAGCAAGAGAGCTTAATGAGAATCTGCTCAACTCGGATACGGCAAGCTGCCAACACTGGAACGAAATGATGTCTGCCCTGGAGAGATGATCAGTTCATCTCCAGGCTCCAAAAAGCTGATACGCCTTTTGATATTCACTGCACTTAGGGGCGGTATCGTCAATACTGATTCTGCAACTTGGTTGACCCTCTCTAGGTCACGAGTTAAAGGCATCGCAATATGTATCATATGTCGTACCGTAGCCTATAGGCTCATTTGAAGGCTTCTATGGGCCCGTATAACTTCTCCGACCGTATGATTGAATGCTACCGCGAGGCCCATTGCCGTGATGTCGAGGAACTTCCGTAATTCAAACGCAGAGCCAATGGCAGATGGTGTTGGCTCATTTTCCATAAGCCCATAAACGACAAGAACATCTGAACAAAGCGGAGGCAGGCGTAGGCAGGCGTAGGCAGGCGTAAAAAAAGGGTTGCAAGTCGTCGCTGGCGCCTAGTTGTCGAGGGTCTTTCCTTCAAAATAAATAGTCCTCGAAGGCTCGGCGTTGCCACTTCTTCTCTTTCACACCCATCACTTCTTCTTTTTTTCCCCAACTCCCTTCACCGCCACATCCATTCAAGCCAGAGGTTGAATCAACTCTTTCAGGTGAGTAATTTTCTAGGTTATAGTTGTTTCATGCGTTGAGAGCTTGGTGTCTTTTGTCCGAAGGGCTGCATCCCCTGTGGGGCCTTCCCATGCGTGTTCTGTCTCATCCTGTTGTATCAAATCGATGATGTATCGGTGCACATCCATTGTATCAACGCACACCTCTTGCATGCATGCATGAAGTGAGTTTGTGTATTACTGTTTGACAGTATGCTGATTTCGTTCAGTTTTTGCTGCCGTTTCGCCATCATGGCCAGACCCAAATCTGACCTGATGGATGAACGAAATGCGCCGCTCAGGAGTCATCCGCTTGAAAAGACTTCAACTCAAGATGTCAAGGACAAGGATGGTTCCCGTACTGTCATTATTCCGCCGCGCGGAAGCCTGCTTGGCAGTGAGCAACGCGGCCGTTCTCAGGAACAGAGCCAGCAACGGAACCGATCACTCAGTCCTTTCAAGCGACGAAATCATTCGGAGTTGCCTCCCATTCAGACCAGTAGTCTGGGAGGGGCTATTCCGAAATCCTCCACTGGCCCTTTGAATAATTCAGACTCGGATCTTAGCAAGGAGCGGCCTTTCCTGTCCAAGCTTCTTGACAAGTCCCCATTCCATTCGAACAAAACAACTGTTTTCGGGGAGGAAAAGCAGGATGATAGTCAGACGCAACACGACGCTGCCCAAGAAGCCAAGGACGAGGAAGAATACCACAACTTTTGTGTCAGCTTGAACAACAGCCTGAACAATAGCTTGGAGGACGATTCTCCCATTGAAAGGGAGCATGAGTTTGAGCACTGTGACAGCATGATAGCCGAACAGAAAGATCAAGTCCGACTGTTCCGTTCTAGTCTGCTTGCTGGCGCCAAGGCCAAGGAAGATCGACGCAGCCGCTTCAAGCGGACTCCGACCCCCCCTGACCATCTTCCAATTGGTCCTGGCGAGGTTGCCGAAACTGAAATTCAAGATTCCATCGTCAGCGAGAGCAAAGAATGCGTCGTTGGTATTCAAGAAAATGACGACTTTTCTATTCCCGAGACACTGAAACCAACTATCTCTTTCCAGGAAGAGAGCGAAGAATCTCTGGATTGCCTCATTGAAGAGCTGGAGGCTGAAGATGGAAAGGAGCCTGATGTGGATGCAATCACGATCCGAGCTGGGGAAACCCCCCCATACCCTGCTTCCCTGTTTGACACCAAGGTCGACGAGGGCCTGGAAGACGCAGAGGTAGCCGCTCGGCGCAAGAAGTATGGCTGGAATCGCATGAAGGAACAGAAACGGAACCATTTTCTCAAGTTCCTGTCCTTCTTCAATGGCCCGGTCCAGTGGGTCATGGAGGTAAGCAAAAAGATTCATTGACCACTTTAAAGCAGTTGGAAAAAAAAGCATGTGCTCACAAATTTTTCTCAATTCCAGGTTGCCATCGTCCTAGCCGCCGGCTTGCAAGATTGGATCGATTTCGGAATAATCTGTGCCCTGCTCCTATTGAATTCTGTGGTAGGATTCGCTCAAGAATATCAGGCGGGCAACATTGTCGACAGCCTAAAGAAGACTCTTGCCTTGAGAGCGCTGGTAATTCGCAACGGTTGTATGGTGGAGATAAATGCCGAAGAGGTCGTGATTGGTGATATCATTCACGTGGCAGATGTGAGTTCATGGCGTTTTGAGAAGACGGACACAAGGACATTCAGGCTAACATCCTAATTAGGGAACAATCATCGCCGCAGATGGTAGACTGGCATGTGACGACGCCTACCTTCAGGTTGATCAGTCTGGAATCACCGGGGAATCTCTCGCTGTGGATAAGCGCAAAGGGGATCCTATCTTTGCTTCATCGGTAGTCAAACGTGGGACTGGGCTCATGGTAGTCACTGCCACTGGTGATCGTACCTTTGTCGGAAATGCAGCAGTTCTGGTGAACAAGGCTGGCAATACTACTGGCCACTTCACTCGGGTCCTGCGTGAAATGGCCCGGATTCTTCTGATTCTGGTGCTTTTCACCCTGCTCATTGTCTGGATCAGCAGTTATTATCGCTCGAATCCGATCGTTCAGATACTTGAGTTCACGCTCGCAATCACCGTGATTGGAGTCCCCGTCGGTCTTCCTGTGGTTGTCACCACAACAATGGCCGTTGGTGCATCTTATCTGGCCAAACACCAGGCTATCGTGCAAAAACTCTCAGCTATCGAGTCGTTGGCTGGAGTGGAGATTCTCTGTTCAGACAAAACGGGAACACTCACTCGAAACCGACTGACACTGGGTGATCCGTACATAGCCCCTGGAATGAGTGCAGGAGAGCTTATGCTGACTGCATGTCTTGCGGCAATTCGAAAAAAGGGCGGGATCGATGCTATCGACAAGGTCTTCCTTAAAGGTCTCCGCCACTACCCGTGGGCCAAATCTCAGATCGCCTTGTTCAAAACTCTTGATTTTTCTCCATTTGACCCGGTTTCAAAGAAGGTCACAGCACACGTGCAGTCAGTGAATGGTGAAAAGATGATCTGCGTAAAGGGTGCTCCTATGGCCATCCTGAGAACAGTGGAGAAGGAAACATCTCTGTGCGATCCGTTTTTCAAGGAGTATGAAGCAAAGGTTACCGAGTTTGCCAGTCGAGGATTCCGTGCACTCGGAGTTGCCCGCAAGCGTCAAGGACAGCCATGGGAGATTCTGGGAATCATGCCATGCATGGATCCCCCACGCTATGACACTGCTAAGACAGTTTTCGAGGCCCAAGGCCTGGGTCTCTCTATCAAGATGCTCACTGGAGATGCAGTGGCAATTGCACGCGAAACAGCACGTAGACTCGGCCTCGGAACCAACATTTACAATGCTGAACGGCTTGGTGTCACTGGTGCCGGCTCTATGTCTGGCTCGGAGGTGAATGACTTTGTTGAGGCTGCCGACGGCTTCGCTGAAGTCTACCCCCAGCACAAGTACAGTGTGGTTGAGATCCTCCAGCGACGAGGCTATCTAGTGGCAATGACTGGCGACGGTGTGAACGACGCTGCTTCGTTGAAGAAGGCAGACACTGGTATTGCGGTAGAGGGCGCATCCGATGCGGCCCGCTCTGCTGCTGATATTGTTTTCTTGGCATCTGGTCTTTCCACAATCATCGAGGCAATCAAGATCGCTCGTCGAATCTTCCACCGCATGTACTCATATGTGGTGTTCCGGATCGCGTTGTCCATTCATCTGGAGCTCTTTTTCGGACTCTGGATTGTGATCAAGAACGAAATCCTCGACCTCCGCCTGGTTGTTCTCCTTGCTATCTTTGCCGATATTGCAACCTTGGCCATTGCGTATGACAATGCAACTTATTCCCAGTCACCTGTCAAATGGAACCAGCCAAGACTCTGGGGAGAATCAATTGTTTTAGGGTTCATTCTAGCGGTCGGGACCTGGGTGACGTTGGGCACCATCCTGTTGCAAGGCGAGGAAGGAGGCGTTATCGAAGGCTGGGGTTCGCGAGATGAGGTCTTGTTCCTGGAGATTTCTCTGACCCAAAGCTGGTTGATTCTGATAACTCGCGTCAATGGATCCGGATCCGGCTCATTCTGGGCCAACTGTCCATCGTTTTACCTTCTCGCTGCCGTGGGTTCTGTCGATCTGACTGCAACCTTGATGGCCGCATACGGTGCCTTCGGTCAAGCCACATCCTGGTTAACCGTCCTCCGCGTGTGGATTCTTTCCTTTGGGGTGACATGTGTCAACGCGCTGGCTTACATTTTGATGCATAACTCACAAAGGTTCGACAACCTTATGCATGGCAAAGGTCCTCGAAAGAGAGACAGAGAGCGCTCATGGGAAGACTTCGGTAAGTTAGCAGAGACTCACTTCATCCTCGCATCTTCGGCACTGGCAACTAACCAATCATAGGTCTTGACATGCAGCGAATGGCCAAACAGCATGAGAAGAGCAGTTAGGGATGGTTTGAGAACTCCCCCCCACCAGTACTGCAATTGATGATGATGATGAAATGATGATGATGATGATAAATGGCAAGATGCCTCTAATCGATGCATTTTAGTGATTTATCTTATCGTGGAGAAAGGAGGAGTGCAAAGTGGAAGAAGTCTTGTTTCTCATCAGGCGGCCCTTTGAGGTCATGCCTGCACGTTCTTATTATTATTCGGACGCTGGATCGAGATTAACAGATCCTATTTTTTTAACAGCTATTCTTTATTCCGTTCCTGCTATTGTAGGCGCTTTTGCTGAACCTTTTGATGCAGTAACAATTTTGGACTGGTGATTGTCACCATCTTAATGCCTCGAAGCCAGAATAGAAATGGCGAACACTCATTTCTGGCGGCATCAAATCGTTCCACAATCGACCAACCGCCGCGGCCTTGCTAGGCAGCGCAGTCAGTTGCGTTACACGGAGATCTCTATCTGGTGTGTATTGACTCGACAGTTGGAATATCAAGTAACAGAATCCGACACCAGGCAACGGCGATCTAGATCCCGCAAGCAATTGGGCTGTTCTCACAAATGAATCTCTCCTACTTTATTCTCAGTTTGGAAGATTAGTGCTTTTCAATTAGTGCGCTGTCTCACCAATCCTGAATTGCAGGTTTCATCTTATTTTGCATAAGTAGGGAGGAAATGATGTGTGAAGTCAAGCATGCAGTTCACAAAAAGTGCCCATTAACGTTCTCTGATTGGAACCCTTCCTTGAACAGTCCAGCCTTGTCTTAAAAGACTTTGCTGAGCTGGATATGAACTCCGTGCATCTATCAAGCTCGCTGTGATCACTAGTATTGTCAGCAAATGAGAAAATGCATAAGTTGCTTGAATTTACTAAGCTTCAGACATATGAGATATGCACATGATCCGAAAACATTGCATGAGACATACACTAGGATGAATGCACTAGCCATGAAAAAAACAGACAGTACGATATTTGTTTGGGGGGGGGGGGGGAGAAAACAACCAATCGGCGTTGGTGCCTGTAGCCACAAAAGTCTACATTTTAAAGTGGGCAGTTCTATTCTAGACATGTTGAAAGAAATGATCTAGAACAGTGATCGTTCGGTCTTGGCTATCAAATTACCCTGTCTCCTTTCGGTTCGTACATGGTCCACGTCAGAGTTAGGGTTATTAAATGGTGCCACGGGAGTCAAAGAGAACCTTTCTCTATAAACTAGAGTGACGCCGCTATTTTACTTTGTGCAAACCCACAAATTTCAGATCCCTTATCGACACACTCTTTGGGCACTATTCAAATTATTGGCACAAAGAGGAGCAAAGATTTGAAGTTTAGATTGGAGAAGAGTGGAAAAGAAAACTTATACAAAATTCACGCTGTGCTAAAAAAAATCTATACATGCAAAGGCATTGACCTGCCTTTTTAACGGCATCAAACAACCGGGGAATCCGACTCCACGGCAGTCGAGCCTTCTTTGATCTCCCCTCCCCGCGTAATGCGTCAGCTCTGGCTCTAGGATCGGCAATAGCTGAGCGAAATCTCACCCACAACAAAGCCATCTTTGGCCTCAGCGTCGGTCTCCCTCTGAAAGTGCTGTTGTCGGCGATACATCCGCCAGAAGACAATACTGCCATGGATCTGAGCAGCGGAGAACGCAATGTGGAGGAGTGGGGTGACAATTTTGAAGGCAAGCCGCCACCGGTCCCACGTGCTTCCGAACAGCCACATTGTCACAATCGTCTCTGTGATTGTTCCCAATGCGGTTGTTACGCAAGAGATCAGGAAGACCCTACTGAGGAAGCGGTGTCGTTCGGGGAAGATGCGATAGAGAATGATAGCGACGTGGGGGAATAGTTCGAAGACGGCATCGAATGCGCCTACACCCAGTTATTGTTAGTTTTTGGTTGTTCTTTTCGTCGTTAACCCAGCGCCACATATCCTTACCCCAGGCAGTACAAAGGACGAACTCGATGTACGCGTCGGGCTCACGTAATGGCCGCAGACTGATCGCGATGGCTGCTTGGCCAATGAAGATTGTCCCAACGTGGTGCATCACGGCCACGGGTGACAACTTCATGCGGTAAATCAACTCGAAGATGTAGATCCCAATCAACATTTGCGCCACAACAATCATGATGTCCCCAAGGGACACTGGTGAGCCATGGACAAAGGGCGTGTTGAATGACGGCCCTTTGCAGAATGTGATACTGACGAAGGGGTACGCGGCAACAATCAAAATGATCACCTTAGTGACACCAGCGATATGATGATTCACAAAGCCACGACGGTTCAGCTCACTCATATTAGTATATATTGAGCCATACAGACGACGGATGAGAAATCCCTCGAGAATATAGAAGCGAACGAAGAAGCACACTACCAACACGATGGAGATGATCAAGGCGGAAAATTGAGCCAAGTCGGAGATTGGACCGAGCTCCTTTGTAGTCAAAGGAATTGGGCGAGGGTGTCGTGGAAGAAGTCCCATTTTGTGTAATTGACAAGCGCATGCGTTTGAAAAGAAGTGACGATGTGCAAGAAAGTCAAAATTGAAATAAACTCGATCTGCGCTTTATTTGCGGCACATGTCAGGACTTCTGGGACTGTGAAATCAGAAGGGCTGTGAAGAAGAACTGGGGAACGAGTTGTAGCGAAGATCGGGGGCAAGGCAACAACCTTAGGGCCCCATAGCTGAAGACAGTAGACCCCGGATATCTCCGTATCTGGACATGGTCCCAAACTCACTTATCAGTCACGGCGGTGTACGTAAGTCTTCCACTAGCCCTTTCGTACACTCACAGCCCCACAGCACATACGAAGTTACACTAGGCTTACTGTTTCTATCTTGGCGACAGAATTTTTTTTTTAGTCTTACATTGAAACAAACTTTATACATCAGAAGAGTGTGAGTTAAGAGAAAAACATGATCCGAGTTGTTTGTTTTAATTGAGTTCACAATGAGAATCCAAAGTTGAAATGAAAAATTAAGCCGAAAGCCAAGCTTTGTTTGAACGGCAGCAAAGGCTTAAATAGTGGATACTGCCGCACTCTGCATTCTTTGATTGGCTGCGATGCCCCCTTCAAGGTCAGTAACTACTGTAGCTCGTCCCGCCCTGTCTAGGCAACAGTATAAAAAAAGGGTTGCCTGCCTAAATGGGCTTCAATGATATTTCTAAATTTACAAATTAAAAGAAAAAGGCGGAAATAGGATGCCTGGAAATTTCATAACTTTGGAAACTTTCTGGGGAAAAGTCAATTAGCAATTGAAATACAAGAAGAGTTATTCAGCCTTAGCATACAACAGTCACCTGTGGAATTCAACCCCCACCCAGATTTTTTAACCCCTAAATAGCGTAGTATATAATTCAGTAGGCATCGGTGTATAAATTTCAATTTGCTAAGTATCATACGGACTATGTACAATCTTCTATCCTTTTTACAAAGATATTTAAATTGGGCCATAAGAACAGCCAAAATATATCATGTATGCACAGTGGGTCTAAAATAATAATCTTTTGATTCTTCGTGTCATTCTTCAATCAAAAATAAAAGTCACATGTTGTGGAAAAGTCACTTTTTGACTGCTATCTCCGGAGTTCACATGAGCTCGATCGCATTCTAAAGAAAGACCCAGATCTTAGATTCACAAAATCTAAAGACCACCCCAAAAGTTCTCTGTGTCTACCATTCCTCACACCCAAATATAACGTAAGAAATTCAACGAGCCTTCTTGCACAATTTTCCTCCTGCCCGGTAGATGTGCGCCGTCGTCAAGGCGGTAGAAAGAGAAGGGAATGGTAGTGATAGAGATGGTGTACGGTCTATAAATATGAAGTTGTGGGTGTAAATGGAAAAACTCTGAATGTATGAAGAAGAGAGAAAACCATCTTTAGGTTTCTAGACTAAGTGCTAGGAGCAAGTAGGAAGCATATAAAAACAGGAAGGATTTGACTGCTTCTAACACCGCCCACGACTATTACGTAGTCGTCCTACATAGTAAAAAGACCCTATTCTCTGTAAAAAACCAGTTTATCCTACAAAACAAACCCCCCCCCTCCCCCCCCCCTCCCCCATTTTTTGTATATAAAACGAAAATCAAAGCTACAGGTTACTTCAACTGGCTATTAAGCCTACCTACGCTACCCACCATTGAAATATCGTTTTCCCGAGAGGCTTTATAAAACCGTCGGTAGCTAAAATAGCTATCGGGATTTTAATTTTAATATTACTAGCGGCGACTTCTTCACGAAGGCGATAATACCGAAAAGTAATATGTTTTATTACAATGTTAAATTCCGGATTCGACGCTAAAGCAATTGCTCTATTATTATCTAAAAGAACAGGAGTAGGCTTCCTATAAAACCTTCAGTACTAAGCTCTATAAGGAATTAATTTAACTGGATAACTTCTTATACTTCTAGAGCTTTGGTAAAATATTTTCTCTTAGTAGTAGAGAGAGTAATGTAGATATACTGTTTGCAGGCGTAAGTTGCGGAGCCATGATATCATAAAATCTACTTCAGCCTTCATGAAGCAGCAGTTGGTCTAGACCTAAACGGGCTATGATCGCACCTCTGTCTGTTCTGCTTGCATATCCAAGCCCCATAGGTCGTTTTGTTTCCTAGAGCACGCCACTTAGCCAGTTACTAGGAAGAGATAGAGTGAACCTAGGCCCTTGGTTGCTCTTCTAAAAGGCCATGTTCAAAGCCCCACGTTCTCACCCTCAAGTTTATTGGTTTCCTTTGAACAAATTCACCGAGCCACCGTGAGATTGCACAACCCGGCAAGGATCACGAGAATTTCGTGTGGAATAGTTACCATTTCATTTTCTTCTTCAACAGAGTGCGACTCAACAAATGCAATTGACAACAAATTAATCAAATAGGTCGAATCCTCACTAGTTTCAGCTTGCGGCCACTATTCATCGTCCTTTTCTTGTAGCTTTTCAAGAGCATCGCCTAATGAAATACGAGCTTTGAGGGCTGCCTTTGTCAGATCATCAGCAACTGATTGCAGCTTTTCATCTGCACCGGTGCCACTTTTCTCAGCAATTGTCGAGAGTAATCTTCCATAAGCCTAGCAGTCTGTAGCAATCCGTGCCTTAAATAAAGTGTTGGCAGGAGCTATCTCATAGTTTTGTTGAATGAGCATCTGTATCTCCGGAGAGAGCCATTCCCACATATAACCCCCGGTCCCACTGATATCAATTAGCATGGCATCTTTCCTGGCATCAAAAACAATATTTAAGGGTTTGACGTCAAGATGACTTGGGCCTCTCTTGTGCAATGATTCTAATGCTCTTCCGATCTGTAGAGCCCATTGCAACAGCAAAGAATCATTTTAGACCTCAACATCCTTAATGATTTGCTTAAGCGACCCTCCAGGATAGTACTCAAGAAGGAATCCTATAATAACTGCTAGTATATCGGTTGACGGGCTGGTCTTGTACGGGTTCTCCGATACAACTAGGCCAAATAGTTACGCGATGTTTAGCTCTCCGCGGAGCTATGCGAGGGTTTCAATCTCGTCCAAGATATAATTCGTGTCTCCAGGCTCATATACAGGATGGTCGATCGTTTTGTAAGCAAACTTAAGTTGATTGATTAAGACCGTGGAGACTGTTGGAGCGATAACCTCAACATTCTGCAGACAACTAGCCTCAAATGTTGGTAGACACCTGGCTCGGTCTAAAGTCGGGTACGTGACTCTCTTTAGATCTTCCGTGATCTTGCAGCACATTTAATGGGCAACTACAATGAAAAAGTTTGCTGTGGTTTGATACCCATCCCGGATCGTGATCGAGTTTTGGCTCTGCTCAGTCAAACTAAAAGTAATCATTGTCACAGTATCCTCTAAAAGCTGCAGTTGACCGAAATCAGCCGCTTCAATAAATCTTTGAAACGTGGACCGGCGTTGGAAATAGCCTAGATCCAGTATCGATTCCGGCAGAGACCAATCAACGACAACTTTGATCCACCATAACGAGCCATTGTTGGGGAATAGTAGGGTCTGTGATAGACGGTCGCTATTCCAATCTTGATATGATTTGAATTCCAGCTTAAAAGAGGAAAGGAGAGTCTTTTCGGGCATTTCTTTTGAGTGAGGGAAGTGAGTTCTCCTTTTGTCAAAAGGAAAAACAAGATTTCTTAAGATAAATTAGTAGAAAAGGGAGGGAAGGGGTGATAGTTAAGTTGTTGTTTGGATCACGTATTCACAACTTGAAAATGACGGATCTTATATGTCAAACCTCAAATATGGCCCCCTAGGCCATAAACAGGAACCTTGGTTTTTGTTATGGTCTAGCGGAAAAGTACGCTGTATTTCGTTCAACACTAGATCCTAGATACGGACTATCTTATCATCCGATGCTAATACAAGTCGGCTTCTATCTGGTGACTAGGCAACCCCGGAGACAAAACCAGTATGCCCTTCGAGAGTTTGAAGACAGGGACTCCAGCTCTCCATTACCACAGGATGATTCAAAACCCAAACTGCTTTTTCTTCCTGAAAACCTCCTCTGGTGAGGCTATTGGATGGGCTGAAGAGGAGAGATGAATAGTATACCTGTACAGGACTACTTTCGATTCCTGTTCTGTGATATTGAATGAATTTATAGGCATCTTGAGCTTGTCCTAGGAGGCCATTAAGCTCGCTCTCCTTCTTCCCAAGGCGAATTCTTCGTTAGAAACCAGACTTATTTATAAGATTGTAATAACATACCTGAATTAAATTTTCAAGCTTCTGCATAGATTGTATGCCATGGGAAACACGTCCTAAAATGCTCAGAAATTCGAGCCAATGAAGGTACTTCCGCTCTAGAAACACATCTATACGACTCCCATCATCCTTGCTCAATCCAGAAGTCATATTGTGCGAACTAGCTTGAAGATGGTCCACCCAGTAGATACAGGCGTATCCAGCCATTGCTAGTAGATTTGGGCTATGTTCGCTGATATCCTGGGTGGTAATTCCTAAATGGTAGCCATCAGAGACATTCCGTCTGAGCGTCTTGAGAACAACCTCCAGAGATTGGGAGAATATTGCGTGATGTTCGCTTTTTGACCCTCTAGGGAGTATGTCAGTAAGTACCTTCTGGAGTAGGAAGTCTTTATCAGATTGATGAATGAATGCTACCGTGTTTTCTCGTATTGTCAGGAATGACCCACATATAGCGATAATCTTGGAGAGTGCATCAAGGTCATCAAAACCACCATTTCGCCCTTGAAGGAGAGACCCTAGCTCGCTAAGCGTAACCGGGCGATATACCGTTGACAAAGTACCCAGGATCTGCTTGCAGAGCTTTGCATCTTCTGATTCGCGAATCTGGTTCATCATTTGGTGGTAAAGAGCATCAAGTCTAGGCGGAAACATTGCTAGCTTCTTCCTTACATGCCTCCGTGGTGTTTGATCAAGATCCTTCCACACCAAGGCAACCCATAAGAAAGTGCCCTGTGAGTTCGAAAACAGATGGCGATAAACCTCGTCTCTGGTTACAGGAGTGTAGTCCTTTTTATTCGTAAGTAAAAAGACCTTATGACGAATGAACGCATTGATAGCTTCAGACACAGATGCCTCATTCAGCTCCAATGAGATCGGAGCTACCCGGGTAGCAGACTCGAGACGCTCAGTAATATCATATTGGTTCCGGCTAGAAATAACCCATTTAATCTCTCGATGGGTTATTGATGTTTCAACAATCAGATCCAGAAGGTTTTGACGGCCATATAGACATTCATATGATGCATCAATCACAAGATGAACAGTTTCCAAAGACCAGTCTTCGAGGATTTGCGCGAAAATAGAGACAAGTACACTCCACGCATTGTTATCTTCAAACAGGGCTTTTCCCGCAGAGTCGTATCGAGCTCGCACATAGCGGAGAAGTGACCGGTTACTTTCAACTAGTATTTATATCAACCCACGCAGGATAGACGTGGCGCTATTGATTCGCATGTCGGTTGCTTGACAAAAGAAGAACGATATAGTCGCATGGCTCTCAGGTAATCGTGTTATCTCTTCGATAAACCCACACAGAAGCATTGTCTTGCCTTTTCCAGGATTACCCCTGATCCATAGGAGGCGATTGCTTTGGCTTTCTTGCCATTCTTTGAATGCATTGTTGTCAAAGATCCAGCGATACGAGTCTTCGAGCAGCCCCCCGTTGATCCTTTTGATACGCTCTTTATCATAATATGGGTCCGTCGTTCGTAGGTCCCGCAGACATGCTTGATCTCATGATTCCATTTGTCCTAGGGTGGTTTCCAGTTTAGTTACAGTCTTCGAGATGACCATTACACCTACCGATCGTCACACTCCCAATATTGCCGTGTATCGCCCCAGCTTGAAATCCACGATTCAAACCGTCGTGAGAAATGTTGGTTGCCATTATTGTTGTTCGATGATGTTGAGATGATTGTCAAGTTGGGGATTGGATCTCCCGGGTTCAGGTCTACCCCCGCTCTCAGGTGATCCTTTATGATGAGGAAGAATTTGACGACGTTATGATACCTCGCATATGCCTAGCGAGCATGGCTGCTATAAAGCTATCGCCATCGTTAGTAAAGACGCAAGTACACCGTGACGTAGTATCTTGGCTCTAGTGGAGAGAAGCGCTCATGATAGACACAACCTCTGGGACAAATTCTAAATGGACGAATTGAAAGGTTCAAGAAAGTTACAGCCCCACCGACCGAGTATTGAACTGTGACAAAACATTTCAAGATCTCGCAGCAGGCTAAGTCAAATAAGGAGTAGCGTGTTTCAGAATAGAGTTAAAAGAAAGCAAAAAAAGCGAACAGTGAGGTGAAGCTGATTTCGAGCGGCTCTGTACCATTGACAATGCATTGGATGAAGTTCGGAGAAACTTCATTGGTGTTCTCAAAGTTTGGAATGATCCGTCGGCCGGTGACTCGGCCATTTTGCCAAGGGATGGGTTTCCCAAATGTAAGTCTTCGCAGTTGAATAGGTCAAAGTAGTTTCGGAGCTGTATCACTAAAATGTTGCAATTTCCGTGTGCGACGATAGCAAGCCTGTGATAACCCATCAATAAATCCCTGGACCCTATGTCCCTAGAGTTAGTTATCTACAACACCAGGAAAACTCCTATTCGGAGATACCGACCTGACGTTTGATGGTCAACGTAAAACCGAGAAACGTGATAGCACGTACCACAAGTCAAGAGGGAAATAAACTGGTTATCCCTATTATCACTTCTCTCCCAGTCTCACATTCTCTGCTCCAGCTTAGGCCTATATGCATTACTAGTAGAACAATCTTCGCCGCAGACACGGTTCGCCGCAGACACGGTAAGGTCGAGGCTCTAATCTAGTGGACGAGACAACACGAGAAGGACCAAGCTAGAGAGTAGCAAGGCCCTGGCCAGCAGTGCATGTACTATAGTCGGAATCTGCATGACTGTCTTGTGGTTAATGTGCAAGAACAACGGGGACTTCAGTTGACTTTATGCCCGGGTGCTTACTAGATTAGCTCTGTGCTGTAGGTTCCAACGTCATGAAGCCAGCTATCTTGCGTTGCCTAAAGAGAATGGCTTAAATTCAATAAGATATCCTCAGATAACGTTGTCTCTCCCAGGAACCATCAGTCTCCGGGAGCCTGATACTAGCTCCTAGAAACCGGATGGATGCTCCTAGGAACAGCACGGGTAGTCCCAGGAGCCCCTAAGCTCCCGGGAACCTATAGGTGGGCCCTAGGAGCGAAGGGCCGGTAACCGTGCCAAGCGCCCAACCACCCATCCTGGGTAGTTGGTGCGCCCCACCAAACGCAAAATTCCCACCAAACGGAGAATTTTCAATTTCTCATTCAATAAAAATACTGTTTACATGTAACCACCATGACTATCTATATACCAATTTCCACTTTGACTATCTCTTGCCGCCATTGAAGCTTCATGCTCAGCTTCTAATAAATCCCTTGCTTCCTGGGCCCGTTGTTGGGCTTCCAATTCTTTGGCCTGTTTTGCCTTGTAGCCGCTTTAGCTTCTTAGCATCGGCATCCTGTCTTTTAACCATCATCCTATTTGCACATATAGGTGATAGGACACTGCCTTTAGTCCTAAGAAGCGATTTCCCATTTTTTGGTGTATTTGCAGTTGATTTGTGGAACTGAGCCTTCTTCAAAGAGGCCTTTAACAATTCAACCTCTTGGGACAAAAGCGTATTTGCATCTGCACTCCGTCGAATATGCCTCTGAACACTTTGAGATAGATACTCAATCTTCTTTAGATCATTGAGAAGCTTAGTATTAAGCTTTCTAACCCGCTCAATTGTATCTGGTGGTGAATTGGTGGCTGAGCTTGTAAAATCGGGGGGGGGGATGGCGTAAGAATCATAAGGGGAGAGACCCTTCAGCTTCAAGATCTCTTTGGCGTAACCGGCCCTTACATTTTTTACAAAAATTACAGACCCTCGCAAGGTGGGACGACCCGATTATCTTCACCTCCCATAGATATATTACATGATTGGCTTCGTGACACTCAATATGTGTCTATCTTGGACAGCGTACCACACAGGCCAGGAGACGCTTTTTCTAGATCTATAGGGGCCTCAAAGCACCCCAAGGTAGGATTACCCAAATACACAGATCTCCAAGAATACAGTACCAGAGACGTCCATGAGGTAATCATGTCGAATTCGCAAATCCGTCTTTCGCTTTTTTCATCAATCTTGCCCACAGGCCAATCATAGCAACTCCATTCTAAGCATGCGACTAAGATTAAAGATTGCTTTCGATATGAGTGCTTTGGGTATCTCGAGTATTGCATGGTTATGGCTCTCCCAGATCAGTAGATCAAGGCAGCATTTTCTTTGAAAAACTATCTAATGCTGGCATACTATCCTTTAGAAGGATAACTGAAATCGCAGATTACGTTTACTAAAGAAAAAAATGACAACTGATGTGATGAGGCTGTAATATATTATATGGTAAAACATATATGGAACATCACTTTACTTTCATTAATTACTTACTACGCTATCTTGTTCAACTGTGGCGGTGCGGGCATATAATTGTAATGTAACTATTTTTTACTTGTAACAGGATGGTTGTATCAAGTTTTCGTCAGAACAGCCCGCGAGTTGCTTGTGTTTGCCTTGTTACCTTCCTAGAAATGACGAATTGATTATCATTCAAAGTTTTATCAGTAAGCCCATTTAAAAAGGTGGCTCATCATGCTTCAAATTTGCTGCGCTAAAGTGACGGGTGTCTGCACCTCGAGATTAGCGTACAAAACGTTAATACCTTGAATGGCGAGACTGTAAATTGGCAGGCATGAGAGCCACCTGAGTGGTAGATCTTATACTCTCGCCCAGCTAGGGATCTCCCGAGGCTCTGACAAGGAGCCTAGTTTCCAAAGGTCGGCACATAATCGGATTCCGTAGCTGAAAAGCAAAGTTTGTACAAACAAATAATGACCAAGCACAAATAAGACACTATTGATTGAAAAACATGATTCAGTTGCCATTCCGATTAGCCCGTGATCTGGTGCATCCCTGAGAAGGCTTCAATTCCACCCAAGCCTGTCGCAGGAACGCCATATCTATCTCCGCGAAATGAGGCCCAATCTGTCTTAGAGTCAGATTCTGGCTCTTGAGCTCACGTAGCTTCCGTGTGTCCTTTGCATTAAGCCTCTGGCGGGGTTTGTAACTGCTCAAATTATCTGGATGCTGCTGAGGCGGTTGGGTTCTTGCCTTGGCTCTAGTGAGGGGTCCGCGAGGGCTGCTAACAGGGGTTTGATCAACACAAGATAGGTTTTCATCGCCGCCTTCTTCCTGTGTTTGTAAATGACTCTCACACTGATGTTCCGCGCTAACAGTTTGGTCGCAGGCAGACATAGAGGTGAGACAATCTTGCAAGACTTTCCTCTTCTCGTTCGCTTCATTGACAGCACAGTGTCCAGGAGGCTGACT